GGGTGAGGCCTTGAGAAGGCGAGAAAGGCCGGCCCGGAGCCTCCCGTAGTCGGGGTGCGGGGGTGGGGGCAGCCTGGTGTCGAGAGGCCTGAATATGACGCCCGGGAACAGGCCAGGGGAGGGACGTCTGGTAGACCTGAGCAGTAGATGAATCCACAGTTACCAAAAGATCTGTTTTGTTGTCCTCACTCACTCACACACATGTGCACACCCCTGCACACGCCCCCTGCACACAGCACACATGCACACAACCCCGCACACAGGACACACGCACACACGCCCCGCACACAGGACACACACACGCCCCCGCACACAGCACCCACGTCCCAGTACATACACACGTCCCCGCACACAGCAGCTACATACACACGCCCCCGCGCGCACACACACACACACACACTCATTGAACACTCATGTGAACACATCAGGTTCACATGATGCAGCCTGACGATTACATCACAAGCTCTGGTTTTCTTGGGTAAGAATCCCAGTGCAAAAGGGAAATCCTCTGTGTGAGCTGACACAGCTGGTTAGTGGAATAAATGGGACTCAAACACAGATCCTTGTGGCTTAAAGCCTTGTGATTGTACCCCGATGACTCAGGATGAGTCAGCAGCTCTTCAATAAAACACTCAACGGGTCGCTGCGCCCTGGCCAGCCTGCTCGTCCGCCATCCTTAGAAACAGGGAGAGGCAGGAGACCGCCCTCACTGGAGAGGGCCCTGTGGGCGCTCCCAGCTCAGTGCTCAGCACACCAGGCTGGTGGGGGCGGTGCAACCTCCACTCTGCTCTCTCCACCAGGCAGTGCACAAGGCTGCGCTGACCATCGACGAGAACCGGGGCCACCTTTCGGAAGAGAAGAACTGGCTCAGGCAGCCGAGAATTACATTCAACAGGCCCTTCTTGGTTATCATCAAGGACGAAAGCACCGGGGTGACCCTCTTCATGGGGAAGATAATAAACCCCCTGGAAAAGTAACTGCCTCTCTGGGTCAGCCCTTCCCTGACCAAGTCGGATGCCCTCCTCGAAGACATTAAAGCATTTTTGACCTGACCATAGTTGGAGTTTGATGAATCTATCCACCACCCCCCTTGTCTCTGAATGTCCCCAGAATATATATGGTATCTCTTCATGGTTTCATTTTTTCTTGCATTTATACTGCCCGGCCCTGTGCTAAGCAAATATGAAATGTTCACCGAAATGCACAATTTTCTTTGCAGCCAAGGAAAGCCAGCAATGGTGGGGGCTGGAGGTGCTTTCTGGGGCATTGGCAACAACTAAGTAACTGCTTAGAGTTAGCCTCAGAGCAGCTGGCAAAGAGGATGGGGGAGGCAGGCTGAGCCGGCAGGCCGAGGGCAGGCTGCACCACAGAGAAAGGGCAGGGGGGTCTGCACTTAGGTGGGAAGCTCAGTTCGTGCAGACCGTCAAAGTCTCACATCACATTATATACATTTCGATCTCTGATCAAAAATTAAAACATAAAACAACAGACATGATCTGGAAAATAGCATTTGTTCACTTACTTCTTGCTGTTGAAGTTAGTAAAACTTTCTAAGTAAGAGAGAAAACACCTTGGTCAGAAAAGTAAAGATTTATGTATTGGACTCTATAAAATACAAACTATATGGCAAGAAAAAGAGGCATTTGATGGGTCTCTGACAAATAAGCAGACATGTATGAAATTGAGGAGAAAATAGACAGCAGCGCAGTATCTCAAAGAAACATCAGTATCTCACTTTCAATAATTGATAGAAAACTCAATAGAAGACCACTGAGTGGGCCCTCCCTGATAGTGCAGGGGATTAAAGCACAGCACTGCAAGCTAGCCACAACCACTGCAGCATGAGTTCAATCCCTTGCCAGGGAGGTGACCCACATGGCGCAGCGGACCTCTCCTGACCCGCCCGCTGCTCCCCTTGGCCGTGAATTTCAGTGCATCTGCCTGTTCTGCTCCCCACTCTCTCTGGTGATCCTCTCACCACCTCTGCACCTCTGGACTGTATCCCTATCCTGTGTGCATAAATAAATAAATCTTAAAAAAAAAAACACTTAGTGGGAAGAGCAGTTTTAATAAGCGGTGCATGAAGTGTTACCTAGACACATGTGACAGAATGAATGAAGTCGGACCCTTGGCTTTCACCCTCTCTAAATATTAACTCAAAAAATATCAAAAACATAAATGTAAGAACTAAAACATTAACTGGAGGGCAGCTGAGGTGCAGAAGACAGAGTGGACAAACAGGTGGTCAGCTGGGGAGGAGGTGGCCAGGCCCTGATTGCACAACCCACATCACCTTGAACCTGTTAATATTAACTCATCTCCAATCTGGGGGAGCAGAATCCCGAGTCACTGCCCTGATACCGTCATTTGGCTCATCTTGTTGGCCAGATCTTCCGTGAGACTCGCTTGGCCTTAGACTGACACATGCTGAGTCCCCCACTAATATGCAGGTTTTACTCCCTGTGGCTGCATATTGTGGGACATTTCTCCCACAGGATAAGGCAGAACTTTCAGGAGGATAGAATGTGAGCAGCAACATAGAATGGCCTCAGGACGACTGTCACCTTGAACCACTTGACTGAGTGTGACCTCAGAGTTGCTTCTAAGAACTCAGTCTTCCTGGTGGGCATTCCCTGACTTGGGTGTCTGCACACTTCGGGTTCCTTGTCACTGCTCACAAAAACCAAGCTCATCAAGATGGTTTAGTCAACTGATCATTCTTTCATTCGATCATCACACACCAAATGAATCCTTCACTCATTCAAACATTTTGTACGAGGTATAACTGCACGCCAGTCCCGGGCCTCAGTTTGTGCCCTGTGGTGCCCCATGCCATCTCAGGAAGAGGCTGAGTTATACAGTGAATCATACTATGAAAAGTAGAAAGGACCATGTAGCTGGTTTCATGCCCTCTGCTGCTTCCAAGGGCTAACTTCAGGTTCTGTGAGGACACTGGTGCAGGTTGAGCACTGCATGTGGATGCCTGGTGGAGGGTACCTGGAAGCCAGCCCATGCTCCACTCACCAGCTGATGTAGCCTGGGATGTGATGACACACCTGGAAAGAAGCATTCCTTTCATTGACCCAAAAATGCTATTATTCAAAAAGAAGCATAGTGTCAGATGAAACTTGCTTCTAGGCAGCAGATTTAAGGTGTCCACTGTAAAGCCCTTTTTACTTTGGTCGGTTCTTTAAAGCTGACGTAACAATATATGGGACGGGGATGGAAGGCCATTCCCATAAATATATTCATTGGCTGGAGAGATGGAATTATGGTTTAAACTGTATCCCTCTCCCCCCATTTATATGTTGAAAGTCTAACTCAGTATCTCAGACTGTGACTGTAGTTGAAGATAGAATCTTTATTGAGGTGATCAGGTCATTATGGTAGGTCCTAGCATAATAGGACTAGAGTTGTTTTAAGAAGGAGAAAGGTAGAGACAGTCATGAGCAATAAGGGAAGACAGTGTGAGAAATAGCAGGAGCACTGGGGGGCACGAGGATGGCCCACCCACGTGCAAAGGAGAGGGCCCGATTCCTTCCCTCACAGGCCTCCATAGGTGCCAACAGCTTGATTTAAGATTTCCAGCCTCCGTAACGGTGAGTCAACGAATTTCAGTTGTTTAAAGAACACAGTTTGTAGTATTTATTTACAGTAGTGCTAGTAACCTATTAAAGGTGCCCTTTCCTAGTCTGCCCCATAACCTTCTTGAATTCCCAGACCTCTCATCTTACCCAAAGGTAAGAAAAGCTTCCAGCAGAGCGTTTTAACAGGATACCTCTTACCACAGGGTTTAGGTATCTGGGAATTGACCACTTAAGGTCTTATTCTGCCTTGAGAAGTAAATGATAATGAAAGGATTGTAATCTAAAGGCCACCTGTTGTCCAATAATTAGATAAGAACAGGTAATTCTGGAGTCTAGCTTCCATCCTAGTATTAACTACCCATAGCCACAGCATTTGGGATAAGTCACTTGAATTTAACTTTCTCATTCACAGAAACACAGATGGATAGAATGATTAAATAAGTTGTTATATGTAAAGTTCTAGGCACATAGTAAATTCAAGAAATGAGGGCCAAATATTCGCAATGTGGAATAGCTAAAAGTCTTCCCTTTAAGATCTGGAACAAGACAAGTACTCTCACCATTGCTTTTCAATATAATACTCAAAATCCTAGCCAGAGAAATAAAGCAAGAGAAAGACATACAAGGAATCCAAATAGAGAAAGAAGTAAAATGATTACTATTTGCAGACATACATAGACAACTCTAAAAATGTTACAGAAAAACTAATTAAAATAAATCAGTTCAGTAAAGTAGGAAAATAAAAAGCAACACAGAAAAATAAGTAGCCTTTCTACATACAAATAATAAGCCTAAAGAAGAAGAAATTTTAAAAACCACCCCATTTACAATAAAAAAATAAATAAATAAAATACCTGGGAATACACCTAATAAAGGAGGAGAAAGACCCATATAAAGAAAATTATAAAACATTGTTAAAAGAAATAGAAGACATGAAGAAATAGAAATACACCTTCTCAGGGATTGTAATAATTAGCAGTATCAAAATGGTCATCCTACTGAAAACAATTTACAGATTCAATACAATTCCAATAAAAATCTCAATGGGATTCTTTAAAGAAATAGAACAAATATTGATAAAATTCATATGAAATCACAAGAACCTCAATAACCAAAGTTCTCCTGACAACAGAGAAGGAGAATGGAGGTATCCCATGCCCAGATTTTAAACACTAATACAAAGCTACAATAATTAAAACAGTATGGTATTGGACCAACAACAGACACACAGACCAATGGAATCAAATTGAAGACTCGGAAATAAAGCCACACATATATGGAAAACTAATCTATGACATAGGAGCAAAACATATACACTGGAATAAGGGTAGTCTATTTAATAAATGGTGCTGGGGCAACTGCACCACCTTGCAAAAGAATGAAACAGGACTACACCTCACACTATGCACAAAAACCAACTCAAATGGATAAAAGACCTGAAACCATAAAATATATAGAAGAACATATAGACAAAACACTCCATGACATACATCTCAGAAACATCTTTAAAGACTTATCCCCTGAAGCAAAGAAAGTGAAGGAAAGATAAATAGCTGGGATTATATCAGAGTAAAAAGCTTCTGCATGGCAAATGAAACAATAACCAAAACAAAAAGACACTTTACTTATTGGAAGAAAATATTTGCACTCCATTCAACTGATAAGGGACTGATTTCAATGAGCTCACACAACTCAACAAAAACAAAGCCAACAATCCAGTCAAAAAGTGGGCTAAAGTCATTAAAAAAAAAACACTTCTCCAAAGAGGAAAAACAAATGGCCAACAGGTAGATGAAAAAAATGTTCAACACCTCGTATAAGGAGGGAAATGTAAATCAAAACCACAAGGAGATACCACCTCATACCAGTGAGAACGGCACATGTTAAAAGAACTGGCAACAACAAATGCTGGCGCTCTCATACCCTGCTGGTGGGAATGTAAACTGGTCCTATCACTATGGAAAGCTTTATAGAGGTTCTTCAAATAACTAAAAATAGAGCAACCATATTACACAGCAATTCTACTCCTAGAAATCTACCCAAAGGACACAAAAACATTAATGCAAAAGGAAACCTGCATCTCTATGTTTATTGCAGCACTATTTATAATATTCAGCATACAGAAACACCCTAACTACCCAAAAACAGATGACTAGATCAAGAAGATGTGGTAGATATACACAGTGGAATACTATTTAGCAATCAAAAAGGATAAGCTCATGCCATTTGCAGCAACATAGAGCAGGAAGGGGTTATATTCAGTGAAATAAGTCAGAAGAAAAAAGAAAAATATCAGATGGTTTCACATATAGAAGGAATATAGGGAAACTAAATAAGGACAGAGAAAAAAAGACAAAACTAGCAGGCAAATCAGAGACATTCAGTAGAGACAGAAGAGGAAGAGGGATGAAAACAGGGGAGGGAAGAGCACAAGAGACTACAGCAATGGTTCACAGGTGATTTAATGGTGGGAATTTTAGGGGAACCACACCTGAGAGGAGAAATCAAACACTGTATAAAACTGAGCAATGATGTAAAGATGTAATATAGCTCTATATATTAATTAGCAAATATTTAAAAATGAAATATTGAAAGAATGAAAAATAAAAAAGAAGTGAGGGTCAAAATCCAAAGACAGGATTGAACTGACTTCATAAGGACTAATAAACAGGCTCAAAGGCTTGTTTGTTCAATAAACAAAATGCCACAGGTGAAGGTCAGTAGGATGGTGGATGGCCAAGATCGATACCTGGTGATATCAGGTGTTTACCCACCTCAGACACTGAGAATTGGCTGATTTCTTGCCCATTCTGAGAGAATGTAAGTTGAGTAGAAAGACTACTACTTCTCACTTAGCTCCAGGCTGTGTAATCCTGGTAAGTCTGTTATCTCTTCCAACCTCTACTTCTTCATCCATAAAATGAGAACGTTGAACAAGACTAAAAATGTCCATATGTAACTCCCTCTGCCCTCATATCCATGACAGACATTACCAATCAACCACCACCCTATTCTCATCTTCATTCAGACACAGCCTCAGAATCACTCAAAGATAATACTCCAGGAACCACTACATGAGAGGAAACACCTTGATAAATGAAAGGCGGAAGCTTAGGAGAAATCATTTTCTACCCTTTCCTCAACCATCTCTAAAACGCTTGTCAATTACTGTTTTCTAAACCTGATTCTTTTCTTGCCCATGACTTCATGGCATGACTTTATGGCACATGCTTCAGGACCTCCATGGGGTAATTACTGGGGATATTTCCCCTCTGGAATCTCATATCTTGAGCTGTCTACTCCTCCACTTCTCTCTCCCAGACCAGAAGTGTAATGTCCTCATCGTGCTCCTAGATTTTGGTAACCCCTTTATTTAAGTAACCTGGTTCTTTTCTCTCTCTTTCTCTCACTCTCTCCACACTTTTAGAACTCCTACACTCTAAAACAGGATTAATGCATGACAAATTATTTCACCACTTTTTTGTCTATGTACAAAACAGTCATAGTTAACAGGTTAAGGCATGCTTGCATAGAGTTTCAAATGCCTCCCTACTCAGTCTCCCTGGCAGCCCCTACCAATTGCTTGATGTATCAGACAGACTATTGAACATTTCATTCCAAGAAAGCATGTCCAAAGGAATGCTAGAGCAAAATATTAAAACAAGAAAAAAATAGCTCTGTGAAGGTTTCTAGACATCAGACTCAAACCAATGTTAGACAAACAGCTTTCTTTTCAGCGCTCAAGACAATGCCTTCAAACTACCCCACCTGTAGCTATGTGCCTATTCTGAAGAAGTCCCCTATGAAGAATAAAGGTCTCAGTGTTGATACTTTTGCATGTCGAATCTGCCTCAATCTCTATAACCTGCATACTTTTGAATAAGTTACTCGAACTTTCCTGGTCTCATCTGCAAAATAAGACAAATGCCTTCCCATGGGTCATCTTGGTGCATAGCACGTATTCTTCCACCTAGAAGACATTCAGCAAATAAACAAGATGGGCTGCTAGCCTTGCATGTACTGCTATCATTATCAGGATATTTCGGTATGCTGTGCCTGGTGTTGAGGTTCTGCATAGAAGAATAAGACACAACACATGCCCTGGAGAAGTGCAAAAGGGAGTAAAGTTAGAGGAACAAACTGGAGGAATCCCACGTGACACAATGGACCCCATCACCCAGACACCACTCAGAAGTTTCTTAGCCAGTGTTGCTATCCCCCCTTTTGGCTGCTTAGATACTGCCCCAACCTTCAGGATCCAGCTGGATCCACAGCCTTCTGGGAGCTGCCACTGAGTACTCAAGCCTGTACTCTTTCTAGTTAGTTAGATAATTACAGCTCAATTCTGGAAGATCCAAAATAGTAGTTCAATGTAAACTTTATGAACTCATAGTTCTTTCTGTCATTTTGAGGTTTACCCAGTCCAGAATCTCATACACCCTACTACCTATTTGAGTATTTGAGTTTGGAGACAATGAGCACCCATGATCTCAAATGGTACATGCCTTTTAGAAGTGACACTAAGGCTGAAGCCTATGGCAAATGCCTTAGAAGTAGGTGGACACATGGAAGATGGTGAAGGGATGAGAAATATGGAGGATGGAGGGACAGATGAATGGACAGATGTGGTGATAGATGAGCAGATGGACAGATGATGGATGGACGGACAGATGGATGGGTGAGTAGATGGATAGATGGATGGGTGAGTGGATGGACAGATGGGTGGGTAGGTGGGTGGATGGATGGACAGATGGATGGGTAGGTGGATGGGTGGGTAGGTGGGTGGGTGGATGGATGGATGGATGGGCAGATGGATGGGTGGGTGGATGAATGGGAGGATGGAAAAATGCTTTCCCCACAAGTGTGCCATCTATGCTCAGTCTCTGTGACAGTGTAGTTAAGTCAGTTCATGTTTCTCTTGTCCCCCAAGTACCAGTGAGTACTTCACGCAATGTACCTAAAAGATGTAGGCAGAGTGGGCTGAAATCTGGAACATTTTCCTGAGGCCAGTACAAGCAGACCTTCTTGTGTTTCTTCCTCCCTGACCACCACAATCAGCTGTTGTTGGTGGTGAGGAGAAAGAGAGCTTTCTCCTCAGCCCAGCACACTTGCTCACAGAGCCGCCTTGAGAGTCCTGGGGACGCATCAGATGCCTCGTATGTGGCCCGTGAGTAAACATTACCTTCCCCGGCCTTTTGCTGGGTCCCTGTATCCCTTGGTGGTACCTGGGGAGATAGTTCTCTTTCTGTGGGCCAGGCAGTCAGGAGGGAATAGAGCTCAGAGCTTCTCTCAGCCTGCGCAACTTCACCTCAGGACCTGCAGGCCCACACAGGGTGGTTCTCGGTGGAGAATCACCTTGTTCTAAGGTAGGGAGTAGGTGATGGACAAACAAAGCCTTCAGAGGCAGCCTACCTGGACTCAAATCCTGGCTCAGTCACTGAACCAGCTGAGAACCTGGAGGAAGCCACTTCAACAACTTGGGACTCAGATTTCTACAAGGCTTGGTTGGGAGTAAATGGAATGTTACCCAGATTCCCTTCAGTAAGTCACAGCATGAGACGTTTCTTCAGAACTACGTAGAAAGGGCTGGAAAGCTTTGGCAGCTGGCGACAGTGCACTGTCTCTGTCTGTCCAGGATGGGGCCTCCGCTCTGCTCTTCTGGCTGCTGGTGGCCAGGCTGAGTCCTCGTGCCTGTGGCCATGAGACTCCTTCCCAGGAAAGTCAACGAACCCCAGCGAACCTGTCCACCCCTTCGGCCTTCCTGAACAATTCCTACCTGGCCTTTAACCTGTACAAGCAGATGGTGGCCAAGCACCCTGATCAGAACTTCATGTTCTCCCCACTGAGCCTCTCCATCCCCCTCACCCTGCTAGCTTTCCAGGCCCCGCCAGAAATCCGCACCGAGGTCCTGGAGGGGCTGGGGTGGGGCGCCGCCCAGGTCCCTGAAGACAGGGTCCATGAACACTACAGTGAGCTCCTGCTCTCCTGGCTGCCGCCCCCTGGGCAGTGCCACCTAGACACGGGCAGCATGCTGTTCTTGGACAAGAATATACACCTGATACGCAAGTTTGCTAACATTGCCCAGAGTCTGTACCACACAAAGGCCTCCCTTATCCCCTTCAACAACTACAAGGCAGCCCAGGAGATGATGGACAGCTTCATCAGGAAGAAGACACAGGGCAACATTGAGAAGCTGGCCCAGACAACAGGGCCCAACGTTGTCTTGATTCTGGCCAATTATATGTTGATTACAGGTCAGTCACTCTGTTTCGATCATTTAGACAGCTTTGCAGTGTGTCAGAAAGCTAACATTCACCTGGCTTGCTGGCCCGCACTGCACCCCCAACTGCCTCTTCAAAACCTTATTCTGGCAAGGAACTCGTCTCACTTACCCCTCCCATCACCTGAATATTCAAACTCTAGTTTCCTGCCCAGCTCTCTCCTTCCCATCACAACTAGTCCTGAGAGGTGGGCCTTCAGCACAGCGGCCAGTTATGGAATCTGTGGGGCCTGGCACACAATGAATAGCCGGGGCCCCTTGTTCAAAATTTACATCTCAATACAGTGGCACTGACCCCACTCAAGTCCCTGTGACAGCTCAGGTCACACCTCCTGAAGCCCACCCTGCCTGCACCGGCTCCCAGACCCCATCCTCCCCAGCAAGCCTTGCTTCCGGCCCGTTACTCACCTCAAATTGTTTGAGCAAGTCACTTCTTACCCCAGCCCCCACAAGAAACCCCCAGGGACCTGCGCCTCCTCCTACTGTCACTGCCTTGTTCGCTGCCTGTCATTTGTTTTGCTCACCTCTCCTTCTGTTTCCCATAACTCCTCCTGCGGGCCCAGCATGGCCACCCTGCTTATCCTGCCTCTGCCACCTTGGCACGTTTCCCTGTCCTGGAGCACCCCCTGACTCTGGTATTCCATGGGGGTCTCCTTCAATCATCTTATTCTACTCTACCACCCTGGGGTGAGCTCCCTCTGGGAGCTGGTGACCCTTCTGTATACTGAAGACCAGTTGCCCAGCAACTCACACTTGGCGCAAGCTCCGAGCGCTGGCCCCTAGCCATCTGGTCACCTTCATGCAAATGTCCAAAGAACATCTCAGACAACTTCTGGTGTCCTGGGAATATGCCAAACCATTCCTGCTGGCCACAGGACCTTTGCACATACTTTTCTCCCTGAGATATTCTGCCTGACGCTCCATGGCTCACTCCCTAACCCGCTAGGTTTTTATTCCATGTCACCTTCTCAGGGAGGCTTCATCTGAAATCTCAGCCCTCCTTCCCTGACATTTCTTTCCTCCTTTTGCATCATTTCTCTCCCTAGCACTCACCACCCTTCTACCATCCCCCCACCTCCCCAGTGCATCTCGTTCCTTGCTTTCCCTGGTACATTAGCTCCCTGCAGACAGGGGTCTTTCACATCCAGCTGTGCGGCCTGCATCACTGTGTCCCCTGGCACACACAGCATCTCCCAGGCATCGTGCCTTCTGCTACGACGCCAGCGGTCTCTCCTAACACTTGTCATCTCTTATCAGTGGAATGGAAATACCGCTTTAACCCAAAGTTCACCAAGATGGAAGCCTTCCATCTGAAGGAAAATTTCCTGATCCCCGTGTTCATGATGCAGCGGCTGGGCTGGTTCCAGGTCCACCGCCTGAACCACCTGCACAGCGACCTGCTCCGCCTGCCCTTCAGCTGCAACATCACCGCTGTCTTCATTCTCCCCGACTTGGGGTTGCTGAAGCAGGTCGAAGAGGCACTGATGAAGGAGGATTTAAACACGTGGACTCAGCCCATCCCACCAAGGTAAAGCCCGGTTCCCTCGTGCCTGCAGTCCCCTCTCAGCTTCGGCAGCTGGGAGACAGAGACCTTTCTGGTTTGGAGGTGCAAGACGCAAGAGGCTGAGGCTGGACCACACCCTAGTTAGCAGGAAGAGCCAGCCACCACCCCTGGCCTCCCTGGCATGAGACGGTAGCACTGTGCCTGCAGAATAAAACTTTCATCACCATCGCCCTTGTCCCCATCAAATCATCATTCCCTTCTTCTTTGGAGAGGGTTACCTCCACCCGAGGACTCCAGAGCCGAGGCAGCTCTAAAGGAGGGAGCGATGTTAACTTAGCTTTGGCCTGAGCATGACACGCTTTGTAACAGCAGACAGATAAGCGAAATGTGGCCGGGCGGTGACCAGCCACAGGTCCCTCTGTGCACACTCGGATGCCTTGTTGTGACCGGCAGACGGCCGGGCTGCTCACGCTGGGTCTCAGCCTTCGGCCAGAGGCCCGGCCCCTCCCGGGCTTGCTCTCCTCAATACTGGAGGCCCTGCAGCTCTACTGAGGCCTGTGAACCAGCATCTTTGGCTTCCCCTGGGCCTTTGTCAGAACTGTGGGCTCTCAGGCCTCACTCTCACCTCCCGACTCAGAGCCTCCAGTTGAACAAGACCTAGGGGGTTCACAGGCAGGCTGCAGAGCTGCCAGACTCCCCCAACGTGACCAACTCCCAGGTGGCAACTGGGTGTGGTATCCCCAATACCTCCCTGTGCCCATCATCTGAGCATACCCTGGGGAGATGCTAGACTGGGGCGCGGCTGTCCTGTGCATTAGGGGATTTTCAGCAGCCCCCCGGTAGCACACTCTCCTCCTCGCTGTCATGACTATCACAAATGTCCCTGGACATGGCATATGTCCCCTGGGGGGCAGCACCCTTGTCCCAGACCGTGTGTCCAGGTGTGGCTGTGGCTCCTGCACCTTGCCTCGGGTCTCCCACCACGCCCTGACATAAGAGCTCAGGCTTTCACCCCAAGAGAATTTCTCACTGCCAGTGCCTTGCCTCCAGAAAGGACTGGAAGGCCCCTGAGCTCATGGTGGAAGGAGGGAAGTCAAAGTGGGGAAGACACCATCTCAATACTTGGTCCCCACAGCTGTGTGGGTTCAGTCTCGCTCTTTCCAACTGTGTGATGTTGGGTGAATCAACTTCCCTGACTACATTTTCTCGCATGTAAAGTGGGTGTGTTCTGCACCCAAGCCCAGGATAAAGTAAAAACGCCGAGCAAAGTGTCCAGTCTGGGACTGTTTGTTGAAGACACCCATGAGACCCCCGACGCTGCCTGACCCCATCAAGCCCTCGCAGCTAGCAGCTAGTAGCCTGTGTTCTTTCAGCTGTTTTCTCTCCAAGCAGCAGGAGGAGGCTGTTCATGCCCAAATTCTCCTTGTCCTGGCGCATGCAACTGGACCAGCTCCTGCCTGAGCTGGGCATCTGGAAAATATTCCGACACTTCTACAGCCTCTCGGGGGTCGCAGCCCAGACCATGCCCATGAGGGTCTCCAAGGTCAGTGGAAGCCCCCAGGGTCTGGGCCACTCTGTCACCTCTTCTTTCTTTCCTATCAAAGCGCACCCGGTGCTGGGCCCTCGGGCACCCTGAGCCCCCACCTCTAGAGGCTCCCCAGACAGTGCAGAAGTCAAAGTGGAAATGGTGGTGACTTGAGGACAGGCTACGTGAAGCCAGGAGGTCCCGTGTCCCTCTTTCCCGAGCTCCCCACTGAGGCAAGCACCCCTCCTGCCTGCCTGAGATGCTGGGGAGCCCCTGGGGGGTAGGGGAGGACAGCAGCTCGTGGCTGAGAAAGATCAAGTTAGAGTCTGGGAGCGGGCAGAGGCTGGCTGCAGTGTCTGAGGGTGTGAAACAGCACGCGGCACTCAAGGCAGCGCTCAGAGAGGACACGGGAAAGCGGAGGGGAGGACAGGAGAGGTGCTCGAGAGGGGGCCTGGCCTGGGGGTGGGGATGGAAGACAGAGGAGATGGACCCTCCGAGAGGCAGCCCCCTGGGGATCCCAGGAGCACAACAGAGAGTCTCAGGAGCAGAGGGGGTCTGGCGTAGAGGAGGTTGGGCGCCCTTCTCCTCGTGGGGTGAGGGGAGGCCAGCTACAGAGCCCCTGGGGAGAAGCAGCACCCTGGATCCTTAGAGATGAAGAAACTGAGTCTCCACCAGGGCCAGGGCGCCCAGTCCCATGTCCAAGCAGGACGGAGCAGGCAGATTCCAAGTTGGCGGGGTCTCCCCACCCTGCCTCAGCAGCGCCCAGCGGGTCTGAGCTCAGACGAGGGCCAGGGCGGTCCCCGCTCAGGTCAGCACTGGAGCTCATTCCTCCCAGGCAGTGCAAGTGGCCATGCTGACCGTGGATGAGAAAGGGGCAGAAGAGGAGGACATCACTGACTTCCAGTTCCTCCCCAAGGCCTTCCTGCCCCACCTGCGTATGGACAAGCCCTTCCTGTTCTTAATTTTCGAGGAAAACAGTCGCAGTCTCCTGCTCATGGGAAAAGTGATAAATCCTTCGATAAACTTAGAGCCAGTTGACTAGAGGACACACCTGACCACCAGCGCCCCATCCTCCCCCGCTGTGGCTGCTCTGGGCCCCTCCCCCTGTACCTCAGTCCCTGCCGCTCAGATGAGCAGGCCAGCCCAGGGCAGAGGTCGGACACAGTCACACTCATGGCCCGCAGGCCCTCCTGGAAGGGCGTGCGGCCTGCATCCTGCCACCACCTTCACACCCTCTGCCTCATCCTCCCACAACCCTCGCCCACCCCCCCCCCCACCCCCCCCCCCCCCCCCCCCCCCCACAGCTGAGCCACAGTCCTCTGGGGAGTCCTCTCAATAAAGCAGCAACTGACAACCTGCGTGAGGCTGGGACTTGGGGACCCAGTATAGCCTGGGAGGCTGGAGCACCAGTCAGGAGTCAGCATCAATGATGTGCTCCAGGTGTCGTGCTGAGGCGGCAGGATGCAGGAGAAGGAGCCCCACCTCCGAGACCACCCCACCAGGTTGGCACCCCACAGGTTGGCCACCCTGCACCCTCCCAGTGTGGAGCCAGCTGTCATCAGTGCTATGCAGTCTGCACGCTGCAGAGAGGACACGTGCCCTCCCCAGGAGGCCTTGGGAAGGCTCCACTCGCTGCGGCAGCAGCCCAAGTCAGCTCCCGGGGAGAGGGGTGTCCTCTAGCAGAGAGCGGCGGCAAGTATCTGGAGTCCTGGACCTGGGTCTGTGCTCCCGGTGGTTCTGTTACCGAGTGACCCCGATATGAAATGGGTGGGTCTCACCCTGCGCTTGAAGAGACTGATAATGATACTCAGCTGCGGTCACACACAAAAGGGGGAGAAGGGGGCTAGTTATAAAACAAGCGGGGGTGAAGAATAACTCGGGGAGAGGGGCGGGAGACGCACTGGTGGGTGCATCTCACCAGCCCCACTGAGCTGGAATCCCAGCGGCCTGCTGAGAGCCGGCAGGAAGCCAAGAGACCAAGAAACCAAGCACCATGAGAGCCAAAAGCCGAGAGCCAATGGTCAAGAGCCCCCCGAGACCCACTGTCTGGTCTTCCACCACACCCGGCTGCCGACCTCCGGCCTCGGCTCCCAGCCCCCTCCCTTCGGTGATGATGGGGTCTGCAGTGCCGGTGTCTTGGTGGCCTTGGTCTGGGGTGCGGGTGGCGTCCACAAAGCCTGCGGAATTTGTCCAGGGCTCTTCCGCCTAACAGTTCCATAGCCTCTGCGTGGCCGCACTGACCTCCACAGCGCCCAGCGTCCCGCTCTGGCCACTGCCTCCTGCTTGTCGGCTCACTCCGTCTGCACCCCACGCCTGCCTCCCCAAAGCCCCGTAGGGACACGTCAGTCAACGGGCCCCAGGTCACACCTCGTGGTGCACCCCTTGTCCCAGGGGCTCACGCAGCCGGTTCTTGAAAGGAGCCTCACACTGAGCGCCCCCGCCTCTGGATGTGTGGGGCTCCCACTCTCTGAAGCCTTCAAACCTCCATTTACAGCCCTTCACTCTTCTCAGAACCCCCAATACCTCCAGCCCCAAATCACTCTCTGGTGAAGACCCAACTTCTTTTCTTAACTGTCCAGCCCAGCACACTCTCCCCGCCCCCTTCCTGTACCCGGGCAGCACGGGGTGCGGGCTGTGCTCTGAGCCCCACATCTCTGGGATCCTGTGATGTCTTAGTTCAACGCAGGCCTTCAACCCCCAGAGTTAGGGGCCCCCTAGGGTAACATTTAGATCTTTATGAAGTCTTTATCAGGGCCTTTACCACCACCCTCCACATCTCCCCCCATCCCCAGTTTATCTGTGCTTTAAAAGCCTTTCTTAATGTGAGAAATACGTGGAGGCTAAAAACGAACTACACACACACACACACACACACATAAAATTTAAAGATTTATTTATGCATACAGAACTGGGGTACAGGCCAGAGTTGCAGGGGTGGTGAGAGGATTCACCAGAGACAGGGTGGGGAGCAGAACAGGCAGATGGATGAAGTACACTGCTGAGGGGAGCAGCGGACAAGACAGGAAAGGTCTGCTGCACCCTGTGGGTCAGCTCCCGGCCGGGGATGGGGCTTGTGCTGAAGCGGCCGCGGCCAGCTTTGTAGTGCTGTGCTCTAACCCGTTGCGCCACCACGGAGGGTCCAAACTATAGATTTTTAACCCGAGCACCCTTGCTTTGTCATAATTAACAAAAATGTTTACATTAATCTATTTCCTCCCATATTCTAAGTAGCAAGAAGCCCGAGCAGACCGTCAGCAACCAGCCTGGAGATCTGTCCGCTACCAGTTCATGTGGCTTTTTCATGTCACAGATTGACGGGGCTGCTCACTCTCCCCCAGTGCCTAACAAGGCGGCTCCTCTCCAGCTGCCCGTCACCTGGACCCCCACTTTCCTTGACATTCTCATCAGCAGCCTCCTCCTGGGCCCCCAGGCGTCTGCCCAGTCTTTGGAAGGCCTCCTTTTTGCCAACTCATCCCAGGCCACTGTGACACGTTTAGGGTTGTGTTTTGTAGAACTCACTTCTAGACACTTCAGTCTGCTCCAGGCGCCAAGGCCAAAAGAGTTACCTGAAATCAAATAGTTCAAAAAGCCATTCATTACATCTCTGGGTTCTGTAGTCAGGAATTCAGACAGGGCACAGGGAGGGAAGGCTTGTCTCTGTTCTACGAGAGTGGGCCCTCAGCTGGTGGTTTTTAGCATTTTTAGTAAATGGCGACCTGTATAGGACCACAAATAGAATGATTATCTTTTGAACCCAAGGGGGAAAACCTCTCTTTTCAATGTAAAGTAAAAGACAATAAAGAAAAAGAACATGAAGTAAATAGAATCTATGAATAAAATGTCAACCCTGATACATAATTACAATAATGTAAACAGGCTAGTTTTGCCAATTAAAAGACAGAAATCCTCATTTTTGAATAAAAATAATCAACCCAACAAAACGTGTATACGAGGCATACAACGAGAGAGAAGCCACAGAAGTCTGGAAGTGAAAGGTTGAAAGTGAAGCGAGAGAAAGCTAGGCGAGCAACCTCTTCGATTAAGTAGAATTGAAGACAAAAATATGTCCTCTAGCACGGAGATAAAAGGAAAATAAACGGTAAAGAGGACATAATTACCCGCCAAAAATGTGTTTTAATAAGCTCAGAGGATATCAAGGCATCACTGACCAGAGAGAATGAGCAGCTGTGGTTGAAGATGTTGACATTTCCCACTGAGAAACTAAAAGCTCAAGTAACAATCAACACAGATATTAAATAGCTGGGTAAAATCATAAAATAAAATAAAAACAATGATATAGCAGCTTGAGCTTATTATTGTATTATACATGCACACATGTACAGACATGCATAGCAAACAGATTGCATGGGTAACTCCCATTTTTTCAAAGAAAACAAGGAACATTTACAGAAACAAACTTAGATGTTTACGAAAAGAAGAAGCCTCAATAAGTTCCCAATGTTCAATATCAGACACGATATTCTTTAAAAGTAAATGTTAATAAGAGTCATCTAAGACTCTAAATAAACTGAATGACAAACTGAGCCAAAAATGAAACCATGAGGGAAATTTAATATGTCAATACTTAGCAAAATACTAAGAATAGTAAATATCAACAATTTATGGGACATAGCTAAGTACAAAGTTGAAAACTTAATTTTCAATACACTTCTATGGATACTGGAACTGTTAAAAAAAATAAGAAAGCTTAAAAAAAGCAAATCAAGGGCCCTCCCTGGTGGCGCAGCGGGTTAAAGCACTGCACTAAGAAGCTAAAGCCACTTCCGCATGAGTTCGATCCCCGCATGCCCCGAAGGTGACCACATGGCGCGGCAGACCTCTCCTGACCCTCCCGCTGCTCCCCTCAGCAGTGTACTTCGTCAATCTGCCTGTTCTCCCCACTCTATCTCTGGTGAATCTTCTCTCCACCCCGCACCTCGGTTTGTACCCCAGTTCTGTATGAATAAATAAATAAATCCTAAAAACAAAGCAAATAGAAAGCCTAGAGAATTGAAAGATGAAAGAAAATAAAGATTAAAGGCAGAACCCAATGAAATACAGGTTTTTAAAAACAGTCCTTTGAGAAGATCACTAACTAAACAGCTCTCTCTAACAAGACTTACCAAGGGGAAGAAAGAAAAAGATGTAAATAAAAATAGGGCCAAAAGGAGTTTGAAATAATTATATATCATATTAACATAACAGAAAAGATTAATTAGCTAAACAGCTCTCTCTAACAAGACTTACCAAGGGGAAGAAAGAAAAAGATATAAATAAACGTAGGGCCAAAAAGGGTTTTAAATAATTACATATCACATTAATATAACAGATTTTTTAAATAACTGTAAAAGGGCATTATGGATACTTTACTTGAAATCCTAGATGAAGCAGATAAGTTCCTAAATACAAATTCCAGAATTCACTGAGGGATTCAAAACCTTGATCCCAGAGGGGAATAACGGTGCTATCCACACAGCAGAAAGTTCAGGATCCTGGCTGGGCTTTCTCAGTTTCATGCTCTTTCTGTACTATGATCAGGCCAAGGATGAGCAATCGTGTCCATCCAGAGTCCTTGGGGAATTGAAATGAACACGGGAAGAGAGAGAGAGAGAGAGAAACTTATGCTTGATATCAATAACCATCTAGAACTAAATAACCTGGAGCTTCAGTGGCCACTTGGTGCCACCATAGAAAGGCTAAAGTGGACGAAGGAGACAAGAAAGAATCTACAAGAGATGGAGAGAGTGGATGACCAACTTGGGAACCCTGGATCAGGCCGTGCCTGAAGCCCTCTCCACCTTTTTGAATTCGCATTCGGAGACCCAATATTTCTTTTTATTTTAAAGAAAAAGCCTCTGGTCAAGAGAACTGATAAGAAAAATGTGGGACCATAGATTTTAGAGTTGAATGGCCTTGGATGTGAATCTCAAGAGTAGCTCATTTAAGCTCCCTGTGCCTCGGTGTCTTCATCTAACAATGAGTGATAACACTGTCTTCTTTTAGGGTCATTGCGAAGATCAAATGAGGTAATCCTGGGGGAGTACTCCATCGGTTTCATTCCTGGTCTGTTTCCCCCTCCAGAACGAGGTCCCTTGAAAGCCGGCCGTTGCTGGACTCACTCCAGCTTAGGTGCTTCACGGGTGTCATGTCACCCTGCTAATTCCCTGGGGCTTCTACGCCAGCTGCCACATGGCAACCGCACACACTGATGCAACTCCAACCACATTTTCAGATTAAAAAGTGAAACTTCAGGGAATGTACACAGAGGAAAGTTAATTTGCAGCACTGCTATATTTATTCAAACTTCTTGGAAAAGCCTCCCATTGGTTCATGACTTGGGGGAGGGGACCGCTGAATGGTGAAAGCCACTGACCCCCCTCTAAACATTAACCAGCAGGAAACCCAGCCAATAGGATTTAGCGGGTGGCAGCCCTGGCGGCTAACTGTCTCGTGCTCAAGGGCTCCCGGCAGGACCCAGCCGCTGCCCTGCGAGCCCATCCCTGCAGCCGTGAGTACTGCCGAGGGTTCCCCGGCCTCCTCTCCTGCTGCCTTCTGAGCAACGCGATGATGCAGCGCTTATTTGATTTGTTTTAAAGGGGCATTGAACATCAGGACAGCCGGGAGGGATATGAGGCAACGTGTTGGAGGGCTTCCTAGAGTCTAGAGGTCACCCACGGGGTTCTGATATCTCCTGGCCTCCTGCCTGGCAGGGTTAACACTGAGCTAAGAGTCATGCCCACTGTCTTCACGGCCAGTGCTGCATCAAACAGGGTCAAGGGCTGGGGTGCAGCTACAGGAGGCAGTGTCCTTCTGCGGGCCAGGCTGGGGAGGGGGTCCCCAGAAGGGCACTGGGGGGTCCCCAGCACAGGGCTGACAGTGACACCCCCTTCCTCAGTGACCTGGGCCCTGGGCATGGCAGACAGACAGGGGCTATCTATGTTATCCCAGGGTTGTGAGCTGGAAAGGCAGGACCACACGGCGGCCCAGTCCCTGGCCACTGGGCACTGGCTGCTTGTGGGGGGTATCCTTTCAGAAATGGGAAACGAGGGGTGCACCCGGCCACAACACAGGCACGGCACCGACACTGCACTTGTACCCCGCTGGGGGCTTCGCAGGGAGCCGCATTGCTCACCGTTTGGCTTTCTGCAAAGCCGCGAATGAGGGGCCGCAGGCGCCGAGGCAGGTGCAGGGCCTGGACCCTGCCCTCGGTGTTGGAGGCTGCACAGTGGGCCCAGGAGGCCCGGTAGGAGAGGCCACACAGGCAAGCCTGAAGGGCACAGCCACCCATGCCCTCCCTCAGTGAGCCCCCACCTTGGAGGGTTGGCACAGCAGGGGATGAGGTTCCAAGTCCTGCAGGGTCAGCAGGGATAGCAGGGAAGCGAGGACCCCAGTAACCCCAGTGTGTGGACAGCTGCCCACAGCTCGGGGCCTCACCTGGGAGGGGTCAGAAGACCCAGGGAGAGACGACCAGGCTAAGATTCCATGGCAGCACGACAGGGCCAGAAAGAGCACCGCCTGGAGGGGGACCTGGACGGGAGTGGCCAGGACTGCGGGAGTGACCAGGAAGGGGGGCCTGCAGTGAGCCACATGGGCAGGACGGGGCAGCCCCGCTTTGTCCCCAGCTCCCAGGCCAGACCCAGTCTCCACAAATATCTGGGACCTGAAGTGACCCAACTTGCCCCGCCCCCCCAGTGGGATGAAAGTGAGGTACATGGTGGAAAGAGCACCCCGCCAGGCCCCCAGACACCCTTCACTGCTGTGGCTAAGATTTCAAGATGCCAGATCTGAGGTCAAGGGCAGGGCTATCCCCAGGGACAGTCATGCAGATCCCCTGAGCCGTGTTCCCTGGGGCCAGCCTGTGTGTGAGTCTAGGAGGGGACTCTCAGCTGGAGTTCAGGGGATGACTTGGGGGTGGGGGGGCTTGGAGGAAGCCAGGCAGGAGGCGGGGGTCCAGGAAGGGGGTGACTGCTAAATCCTGGAGAAGATAATGGTGAGCCCGAAACGTGGGTTGTGTGCTGAGAGAAGAGGAGAAAACACCTCAAAATGAGAAGATAAATGACAAAGCCAGGGGTGGGCGTTGTGGAAACTGAGGTGGTCTAAATAGTCTACCCAAGTCCTGGAGGTCGGAACAGCAAAGCCGGGCTCCCCGTTCATCCAGAGACAGAGACGTGGGGCTTCTGTACAGCCAGATGGCCGAGGGGGGCAGGACCCCAGGGCTGCCACCCCGGCAGAGAAGGGGAGCTCAGGCCGTGGCAGAGCTGTTTCCTCTCTTGAGGGAGACAAGGCTGGAAGAAGCCCGGGCGCGGGAGGTGCTGGCACCTGACGCTCTTGAGGTTCTGGCTGTGGACACACCCGGGCAAGAGACAGGCAGTTCCACAGAGTGGGCCTCATTCTTGGGGGTACTGCTTCACTGTGGGGGAAGTGGCTAGTTCCCTAGCTGAGGAGCTGCGTGGAGCTCCCCTGTTCTGTAAGCCCCCCTTCTTCACTGGGAGTCAGAGGCTGGGGCCAGCCGCCCTGCCACACAGGCTGGCCGTGGGTTTTTCACTGCGGCTACCAGACATTCTTTAGTGAGTTATATTCAGTTTTTGCGTTCGTGTCTTGTTGTGGTGACAGACCACAATCCGCCCCTTGAGAGTGTGCCGCTTGGTGGCGCCAAGCCCACCGCTCCCTGAGGGACGGTCCCCAGGCCCACAGCCGCCACTTTTCCATCTTTCCTGGCTGAAACGCTGTCCCCAGAAGACACGGGGGCCCCATCCCGCCCCATCCTTTGTTAACGCCCCTCTACCTAGTGTGACGACGAATCGGCCCGCGCCGGGTCCCTCACGCGTGAAATGATGTGCTTCGTCTTTCTGTGCCTTACTTCTTTCACCTGGATGGTGCCCTCAAGCGTCAGCCCTGTGATGGCACGTACCAGCATCCCCTCCCCTTGCCAGGCTCAGCAGTACCCCACCGCTTGCATGTAACACCCGGCAATCACAGAAGGGAAAGAGTGCTTCTGTCCTGGTTCCCAACATAGAGAGCCTGAAGTCCTGGCGTTTCCCTAAGGGACAAGGCTCTGGGAGCTTGTTTTATTCTAATATTTGGTCTCTGCCCCTGTTCCTGAAAGAATTCCTAGCTCCCTTGAGATTTATGGGTACTAATAATGCCTTTTGATCTAATGAAGAGACCTTGGGTATCTCCTGGATAGCTTCAGGCAGGGGCAGGCCAGCAGGAAGAATAGAAGCTTGCCAGTCTCAGCCCATTCCCTAGCGTCTGGAGATTCAGTTAATCATCAATTATGCCAGGTGGAGTGTGATAAAGGTATAAAAGTCCCCAAAGCACAGGGTTTAAGGAGCTTCTGTGTTAGTAAACACACGTCGACCACCCGGGAACAGAAGCTCCTGGGGACCCCTCAGGACTTCACCCTAGGAATCTCTTCATCTGACTGTTGGTGCAATTCTTTGCCATATCCTTTCTAATAAACTGGTAGGCTAAGTGTTCCCTGAGTTCGGTAAGTCATTCCAGCCAATTATCAAACCCAAGGAGCAGGCTCGGGGACCCTGATTTGTAGCCAGTCGGCAGCACAGGTGACTGCAGACCTTGCAATGGGAAGGGGAGTAGAGACAGCCAGTGGGGCCACGCTGGGCTTACAGGCCCCGAGGCCCTCTCCAGTCAGAGTGAGAATTGAGTTCAAGTGTTGGACACCCAGAAGGTGGCAGGACCTTGTTGGCTGTGTAGAAATTTCACACCTCTGGCATCTAAGGGAAATATGGCAATGTGTGTGAGTAAAGGAGACAGAGAGGCATGTTCTCCCTTCACAGCCTCGTTTTTTTCCTCTCTGCACCCTCTCATGGCCACCTGGGCTGTTTCCACGCTTTGGGCCGTTATGAATAGTGCTGTTAGGGATGTTGATGTGTGTATCCATCTGCTCGAGCCCCTTGGGAATCCATTTGCACACACTCAGCAGTGGAATCTTAGATCAAATAGTGATGCTGTGTTTAACACACCCTTCGCCACACAATAGCCCCATCCGTGAGCCCATCCCGCTCTCTCCCGACGGCACGCTGTAAGAACACCTCTCCCTGCTCTCCCGCCTCGCACAGCTACATCTGCTAACAAGCACTCCTGGTCCCGCAGGCCTGGCAACATTGGAAAATGCTGCTGCTTCCATACACCTGTCTCCTCTGCCTGTCGACCATGGGCCTTTGGACTGTCCACTCCGAGGAAGTCAGTGATTCCGGGAGCACCAGGGGCCCTCACCGGAACATCGCCCCAAACAATGTGGACTTTGCCTTCAGCCTGTATAAGCACCTCGTGGCCTCCTCTCCTGGCGAGAACGTCTTCCTCTCCCCTGTGAGCATCTCGATGGCTTTGGCTCTGCTGTCCCTGGGCACCAGGGGTAACACACGCACCCAGATCCTCCAGGGACTGGGCTTCAACCTCACTGAGATATCTGAGGCCGAGATCCATCAGGGCTTCCGACTCCTCCAGAACCTCCTTGAGGAGTCAGACACCGGCTTGGAAATGACCATGGGCAACACCCTGTTCCTGGGACACAGCCCGGAGCTTCTGGGGTTGTTCTCCGCAGACATCAGGCAGTACTACAAACTAGAGGCCATAAGGACTGATCCCCAAGACTGGGCCAGAGCCAGCAGACTCATCAATGATCATATCAAGTATAAGACCCAGGGGAAAATAGACTTGCTCATGGAACTGGATGGCCCAGCCAGCCCCGTCCTGATCAACTACATCTTCTTCGCAGGTACCCTGATCTAGCCCGTCCTGACAAGGCCTAGCTAGTACTGCAGGAATAGCCATAGCCATCAAAACCCAAGGCGCGCACCGGGGCAAAGACTTTAATCTGACAAAGCGCTCTCTTCACTGTAATCCTGTTTGGATGCTGGAATCACATAGACTCACAAAAGGTCAAAATGAGATCTAGCAGAATGGAGTGACTTTGCCAAGTTCTTGCAGGATGATGTTAGGCCAAACCCTGACCCTGAAGACTCTGGCAGCCTCCCAGTCTCCAACACTGGCTGGCCCCTGGCAGTGGGCCAGGCACTACACTGGGGTCTGAAAACACAGCCTAGAGCCAGCCAGATCCCCCGCCCTGGGAGCCCCAGTAGGCCCCCGCCCACCCTGCACACACTCCCCAGGTGCTCAGGCAGCTCTAGGCAGTCCCTCTTCCCCAGTCTGAAGCAGGATTTTCCAAAGTTGCAGGTGTATGAACTTTCTGACTTTCTAAAAGTCACCAGGAAGCTTTGTTAATATTGCAAATTCCAGAGTCCATACCAGACCTACTGAAGCAAACTCTCCTTAAGGAAAGTTCTAGAATTGGTATATTTAGCAAAATCCCCGGGCCCTAATCAAAACACAGCTTGGGGAGACACTATCTTGAGAATGAAACGTAAGCTCACCGCGGCACTGGCTCTAGCCCCAGAGCCGCCTGCGCCCGCCATCACACCCCTCAACTCTGTTCCTCTCATCGCCTCCCCTGACACTGGCCTCCTGCCTTCCTCGCCTGCATTTGAGGACCCTTGGATTAGACTGGGCCTCCCAGGGGACTCGAATAATCTCCATCTCTCAGACAGTTAATTCCTCCTTGCCATGTAACATAAAGTAGGTTTCAGGGATTAAGACACAGGCATTTTGGGGCACTACTCTGCCCGCTACAGCACCCTTGACCTTTTATCCCCTGGACACTCCCTCAACTTGTCTACTGCCTAGAATTTCTTTTCACCCTTTGAATCTTGGCTCAAAAGTCACCTCCTCTATGAAGCCTGCCCTGATTCCATCCAGCAACTCTGCTCCTTCTATGCATCCTCAGCAGTTTTCCCACACCTCATTTTAGCAACGTTCTCGTTAGACGTGCACTGCGACTGGTTCAATTTCAGTTCATCAGTCCCATTCAGAGAAGGGCAGGTGAAGTGGGCACAATAGCTGACACACCTCAGCCACACTGAGGATCCTTCCGATCATCATCCCCAGTAGTCTCCTCAAGCAACACCGCTCTCACGCAGGGCTGCCCGCTGCCAACTGCACCCCCTCCCTGCACCCGGATGGACCCAGCATCCTTTGCGCCTGCTCCTGCTGTCCCTTGGTCTTTCTCTGCCTGTTCTCCAGCACATACCTGGGGTCCCCTGCAGCGGCCTGCCCTTGAAAGCTGCCTTCCCTCCTTTCCCCAGGCACGCTGGCACAGCCCTTCCACCCAGCGAGCACCAAGGAGGAGGACTTCCACGTGAATGAGATGAGCACGGTGAAGGTGCCCATGATGCTCCAGTCCAGCCCCATCAAGTACCTGGATGACCCGGTGCTGCCCTGCCTACTGGTGCAGCTGGACTACACTGGCAACGGGACCGCCTTCCTCATCCTTCCGGACGAGGGCAAGATGGACACGGTCATCGCCGCGCTGAGCCGCGACACCATTCAGAGGTGGTCCAAGTCCCTGAGAAGCAGGTGAGCCTCGCCCTCCGCCACCCGCCCGCCCACCAAGGCCCCCTGGAGCCTGTCTGCTGGGGCCGCAAGGGCAAGAGATGCTCTGGCCTAGAGGCCACACTGACTGACCTGTTGCCCGAGGCAACTGACATTTTGGGGGAGCATTCCCTAGTGAGGTCCCACCTCTCTGGAAGGTTGTAACTGCTGTTAAAAGCCAAAACTTACACATTTAGCAATCTAGTCGACTATGACATGATTCATGAACTGGACAGCAACTCCCACAAAATGGAGGGTATTTTGCAGAGAAAGAAGGTGAGATAAGGCTACTAGCAAAAGGAAAGTTTCGGGTCAAGCCATCATCCCTGGTCTGGGGATGCGGCAGGGGGATCTGACCACACAGCCCACTCCATTGCCACCAACAGCTGCACACAGGCTGGTTTACGGTGACACTTTTGATTTAATTTGTGTGTGTGTGTAGAACTGGAGTGTAGGCCAGTGGTGTGAGAGTGATGGGTACAGGGAAGAAAGGATCACCAGAGACAGAGTGGGGAGCAGAGCAGGCAGATCTATTGGAATGCACTGCTGAGGGGAGCAGTGGGCAGGTCAGGAGAGGTCTCTGCGCCCAGTGGGTCAGCTCCCTGGCCTGGGATCGAACTCAAGCCATAGTGCTCAGACTTAACCTCGAGGCCACCAGGGAGGCCTGTCGGATGACACTTTTGGAAGAGAGTGAAATGTAACAAGAAGAGTTATCGAGTCTGGATGGCTGAGCATGAGTCATTCCATTTTGAACCAATTTTTTTCCCCCCTATTTTTAATACCACCCTGAGTATTATGTTTCTGTGTCACTTTCTTAAACTGACTTCACCGACCACCCAGCTCCCCATCATGGAACCAACACCAAGCCTGAGATCTTAAGTCACTCAAAGGATAAAAATTGTCTTCAATCAGTCAGCAGATAAGAACTAAGGCCATGAGTAAAGGTTAAGCAAGCAGCTAAAAACAAGAGTGAGTGTGTGTACAAAGGGCTGGTGGTCAGCAGCAGACCTTGGCCTTGAGTAAACTAGGCACGCATGCAGCGTAAACAAAAGCACCCGCTGCCTCTGAGCTAGAGGTCAGTCGAAATGATGGTCAAGCCTGTAACCAGCTGCCATCTCAGCTCAGAGGAGGAGCAGGTGTTCTAGAACACGCACCCCACTCTGGAGACTTCAGTTCTCCCTGTGCAGCAGTCAGACTAAAGTCAACCTAAGTGGCACCCGGTGGTGAGTGGGTGGTGGGTGGGGGAGGCACCATGCCAAAGAGTAGAGGGCGCAGGGGGGAAGCAGACGCTTTGAGCCAGGGTGGCTCAGGAAGGCTCACGGAGCAGGTGCCTTTGCACTCACTCATTCACTCATTCATTGAATGTACAGACATGGAGACACCTGCTGTGTGCCACGCACAAAGGAAAGAATTGGCGACAAAGTCGGGACTTCAAGACAGGCACTCCATGGAAGAACACAGATTACAGCAGCATTGCCAGACACACATTCTGGCCAGCGAGAGGCCAGATGTGCAGATGTGTAAAATTCAGGGGGCGCAGAAGGCCTAACTCCAGCTGGGAGCCCAGCCGGAGGCGCCGTGGAGCGGGCTGGCTTGGCTTTGGGCTGTATCTTAAGCCTGGACGCTCGCCCTGCAGGGAGCAGTGCCAGAGCATAGCAGGAGGGAGGGCTGGCCCAAGCCAGACAGGCGGTGCCCAGAACGCCAGCAGGGCCAGACAGCCAGACCAGCTCTCCTTGGTTGAGCTTTGCCATCGAAGAATTTTGTGGGCAGAAAATCCAGAAAGAAGCTCTTTTACTTTATTATCTATGTAGGTCTTACAGTTGATGGGTCGAGTTTTTAGTTTGAATTATGCCATTAGAGACCTACGCAGCGCCGGAGCGTGCCGAGGGTGAGCCAGCTCCGGTGTGGACCGGCAGCGGCAGGCAGGTGGGCCTCACTCCTGTGGTCTGTGGTGCACAGAGGGCGTTCCCAGGGTCCCTGGCCCACCTGTGCCCGCGTTGAGTGTGCAGTCGCAGGGTGTGGCTTGGGTGCCAGGGAGCCCATGTTTGCACAATGTAGGAACCCATTTGCCTGCTCCTCCCCACACGGTGTTGCCCGAGCTGGCCTGCTGTGTGGACAGCAGCCAGCAAGGCAGGGAGCAGGTTCTCTGGGGTCCGGGCAGATGGGTCAAGGGGAGGCCTGAAGCCCTCGGCGGCTTTCTCTGGCTTTTAACGATCTACAACATTTACAGTGAGGCGACCAGGTCCAGGGCAGGCAGGGGCCCGGGCGCAGGATGCTGGCAGACCCCGGTGAATCTCTCTGGGCTCTGGCCTTCTCTCGTGGCCTCTCCCCACAGTCCTCTACTGCCGTGTCCTCTGCGCTCGGCTCTCAGCTCAGCTGCACCACCCACGTGCACCGACAGTCCACGCCCAGTGCCGCCACCAGGCAGCATGCAAGTGGCAGGAGAGTGGACAAGCCTGAGCACTTCCATGTACCCCACAACGGGACACGCACAGAAAGGGCTGGAACCAGGCTACCACCACACCTGCTGCTTTAGCGGCACGGGGCGGGGGAGGGGAACCGCTCCCTCCACACCCACCAGGGGCAGTCTGGGGGATGCCAGGGCTTCTTCAGGGCAGTCTCTCCAGTGTCCAGTGGTCCAACTGGGTGTGATAGGGGGATGGTAGGGCCATTTCCTCCTGAGCTCAGCCGGAGGCAGGGCAGGGAAGCAGGGACACAGGAGTCTGCCAGGCACAGACTGCGACTATCTAACCCCCTCCTCTTCTCCCAAGCAGCTGGGTACACCTGTATATCCCGAGGTTGTCCCTCTCTGGAGTCCACGACCTTGGGAACATCATGGCAGACATGGGCATTGCTGACCTGCTCAACAACCAGACAGACTTCTCAGGCATCACCCAAGAGCCCCAGCTGAAGGTGTCGAAGGTAACTGTCACTAGAGTCCACGTTTGTTTCCTCTCCAAAATTCACAGTAAAAATAATAATAAGGCACAAGGAACCCCTTCATGAATAAACCTCGAGCTCACAGGGCAAGTGGCCCAGTGTCCTCCACCCCCCTCGCTCAGGTGTGGCCCGGCCCTCAGGGTCTACCTGTCCTATGGGAGACAAAGCGAGAGAGACACCAGGGAACAGCCTAGCGGCAACACCCCACCCCAAACGCATGGCCTTTGGCACGTGGCAGCTGGTACACAGTAGATGCCCATTAAAGGCTGCTGGGTGACTGCCTGGCCAACAGGGCCACCCCTGGCCAACAGGGCCACCCCTGGCTGCGACCCAACAGCTCGCAGAGCCATCTGCGGCTCAGCGGGGGCCAGGAACGCCCAGATCGCAGAACTAGCAGATAGCACTGTGACGTCAGCCCCAGGACTGTCGCACGCCAACCTCATTTCCCGTCACCCCGCGCAGCGCGTCCCGGGCGGCTTCCTGCCCCGTGGGTGCCGCCCGGCTGGCCACCGCGAGTCCCGCCTTCGCGCCCTACGGAAGCACCCCGTGCGCGGCGTCAGAATTCCTTTCTGATTGCTCACCTGGATCGCAGCGCGGACTTTCCACCCACCGAGGCTCCCCTGGGCCCAGGGAACAGGGGCAGCATTTGGGAAGTCGAGCCTAGTTACCTACCCCGAGTGGGAAGGGGTCCATGGTGGTGGGCTGTGAGGTCCGGGGGCCACGGGCCCCGACTCTCCAGCCACTTTCTCCTGCCCCCTACTCTCCTGACCACTTTCTGAGGAGCTGTCTAGAAGCTGCTGCGGTCTGGACGTGGGCAGACCTCCGCTCTCGTCCATTTACCTGAGGAGCCAGCACGTACCTGTTCGGCACCTCAGCTCTGCCATCATTCAACGGGGGCGGGGGCAGCGCCCCCACGCAGCAGGGGCTCACCTGCCACCTCCGTCCACACCCACAGGTGGTCCACAAGGCCGGGCTGCAGTTCGCGGAGGAGGGTGTGAAGGATGCAGCCCCCACCCAGGTGCCCAAGGACATCATGGCCGCCGAGCCTCTCACCGTCATCTTCAACCGGCCCTTCATCATCATGATCTTCGACCACTTCACCTGGAGCAGCCTTTTGCTAGGCAAGGTGGAGAATCCAAGCTGAGGGTGTGCCCACCCAGAAGCCTCTGCTCCCCGGCTTTGGGCACGTGCACCCCAGACTGTCCTGGGCATGGAGGTTCCCCCAGGCTTCTCCAGGTCCCCCTGTTGCGATGAACAACTCAGGACATCTGCGGACGTGCTTGAAGGGGCGGGGCGGGTTCGGGGCGGGGAGACCCGAGCATATCGACATTATAAGCCGTGTGATGGCCTGGTTCTGATCGTTCTGCTGTGCCCCATGCCAGGTGGCACCTGGAGGAGGCATGCGGAAGGACCACTACTGTTTTCACAGTTTTTGTAAAGTTTGAAATTCTAAGTAAAAACTTAAAAAACAAGAAATCCTGAGTGCCAGAACACAAGCATCATCTTTAAAGTGCTGGGGGTGGGAGATTGGGGGAAGAAGAGTCGCGAGTGTCCTAATATGTTTCAAGAAGCAAAGTCAATCCTTCAAAAGTCAAGGCAAATAAATGCTTATTTTCAGACAAACAGAAGCTAAGATGATTACCTTCACTGAAGAGAAATTTTAAGTAGCTTTTGAGATAGAAACAAGATGATTCTAGATGGAAATTGGGGCGTACACAAAAGAATGAAGAACATTGAAAGGGATTTATGACATATAACATGTTCTACATATGATAGAATGTTATATGTAATATATAGTATAATAAAATATCTAATGTTTTAAATACAGTAAACTGCTAGAAAAACAGTTACCCATTTATTGCTTCTCAATACCAAATCCTATGGTCATTGCAGAGCTAAAAAAAAATGGAGCTAGACCTTTGAAGTATTTTTGCTTTGACTGCAGGGCATAGCAAGGTCTGTCAGTAGGGGGCGCTAAGAGAAATACCGCCGGGAAGAGAGGGCGCCCTCCTGGTTCAGGGCAAAAAGCTGGCTGGACTGACAGACGGCCGGCCGGGCAGGGGACAGATAGTTGATAGGTAGACAGACAGAAAGGTAGATATGGCATATATGTTGAAAAGTAAGAAGAAATGCTCTTCTTCTTCTAATTGAAGAGCATTTCTTTAAGTGTGCATAGTCATACCTTTCTAATTAAATATATATATACATGCATATTCATATAGTCAGGTGTATATAGAAATAATATCTAGCTACTCTGGATTCTAAAGTCATCATCTTACTTAATCTAAAAACAATAAAGCAAGTATAGTTATATATACAGAGAACTGCAAGACATACAGAAACTTATGTATTTTTAATTAAAAATCAGTGCCTGCAGGCAAAGGATTATGGAATTCCTGGAGGCCCTTCTTGCGGTCTTTCTCTGTTGACCTCAGACAGCAAATGAGCCGGCAAGCCTCAGCGGGCATATTCAGAAACAAAGCTCAGCAGGCAGTCCAGTGGGTCACAGGCTGCCACCTGAGCCCTGCCTTTCCTCTTGCACCCCCGCCCCGCCCACCTCAACCCCTCCCTCCGCCAGAGGAGGGGAGCGGGGCACAGAACATCACTGTGGGGTTGTCATTTTCTGACCGCGCATCTGCCCTGTCCGGGTCGCGGTGAGCTGGTCAACCTGGATATTCACACCGACGTTATTTGAACTTATCTAAAATGCGTTCTGTTTGAAATTACTTTAAAATACATGAGATTGCTTGAAATCATTTAAACATTTTAAGTGAAAATTCAAATAATGACGAGCAACACGAAAGCTCTTTGGAAAAAAGATATATCCAAAGAGCTTACAGTCCGGGCTGCGTGGGCGAGCACGTGTGTGCGGCAGGGAGGCCCGGACGCCCTCCTTACAACAGTGCCCTCGTTTCTCTGCTAAAGGTCCTGCTTCTCCTGCCATGGTCCAGCCCCATGTCCCTGCGTCCTGGGCCCTGACGGTGGCCCGGAAGTTACCCGGCGGTCGGAGAACTTCGTTGCCCAGGGAGCTTGCCTGTCAGGTCCTGAGCCTGCCTTCTGCCAGGGGAACGCCCTCCAAATCCTTCTGTAACTAAGCAACTGCTCACTGCGTCAGCACTGGCACGCTTTGCACTGGACAGTCTGTCTGGCCACCTCTCGGCCTCAGGTGGAGCCGTAACCCCCCCCACACACACACACGCACACCCTGGCCCTGATTCTGGGACCCATCACAGATGCACCTTCACTCCTAGGACCACGTGAAGTGAAGTCAGCACTGTCTACCACCTCCGCTGCCTCAGAGATACAGACACGACGAAGGACTTGGCAGGGTGGCCCAGCTGGGCTGTCTGGCTCCCAGGTCCTGTTCTCAGTGATACCAGAGGGCTTGAAGTGTGAGTCAGGGTGAGCCCTCAGCCTTCCTCCCAGCTGAGTGCACAGCAGGGTGCCCAGTGGGGTGGGAGGTGGCAGAGGCCAGAGCAGGCCCCCGGAGCCCACTGTCCTGCTGAGCTGGGAAAGAGGCATGAGTGGAGGGAGCCTGGAGTGTGGGCGCTTAGGGCACCTGCCTTCCTCGCACAGGAGAAGGGTGGGGGCGCTGGGGGCCGGAGCTGGCCTCCTAAGCTGGTGAGGAGGTTGAGGCCCACGAGACAAGGGCCCGGAGAGGGAAAGGTGCCCTGTCCGGGCTGCAGGCAACCAGAACCCCAGCTGTGCAGGGTGCGAGGGGCCAGCGCTCCAGGGGTGCACCAGAAGCCTCGCCCCTGGGCTAACACAGCACCTATGGAGTACTGTGACAGTTAATGGGGTCCCCAGGCCAGCGGAGACCTGACTGGAAGCAGCAGGCGTGGGGAGCAGGAGAGGAGCCTGGTGACATCGCAGCATAAAGAACTGTCCTCAAGTTCACGTGACACCTCCGTGGGGTGGCACCTGGCATGAGCAGGTGGAGGCTGACAGGTGAGATGTGGGCGGTCACGGTCCTCAGCTGAAAATGTCCCCGGGGAGGCTGCAGGAGGCCACCAGGACGCCACGGGGCTGAGGCACCCAAGGTGGAACTTGTGTCTCTGGGCTGCTGGGGTGTGGGAAGCCTTTGTTCCTCCATCTTTGCTTTTCTGGAAACTCCACCACCTCTGAACAGGATGTTGAGTAATAGTCCCAATGGGGCCTTCATACTTTGGAACAGCAAATATTTGCTACAGGTTTTCAGCTGCAAACCGAGCTGTCTTTGCGTTGAGCGCGGGGACCCTCCCGGCACAAGGGCCACAAGCTAGTAAGAGCCTTTCCGGTGTCTCACAGGAGAGCGGGAGAGGTATGCTCATCCCTTCTGGTGGGTTCCAAGGTGGGTGGGGGGTGGGCATCTGGGAGGCCCCAGCTCTCCCTCCCAAACTGGATGGGGCAGGAGAGAGGCGAAGCTCTGGGTGCGCAGCCCCTGGGACCTTCCTCTGGGAGAGGCTCGGCTGGCGTCAGACTTGGGCCCACCACAGGCCCTGGGCCAGCCGCACTGGGCAAGCTGGCCTTTCCCAGGGCCCCTGCCCAGGCAGCGAGCTTCCCCCTCCCAGGGCAGGGGTGGTGCGGGGAGTGGCTCTTCGGAACTTTCCTGACTGAGGGGTAAGTGAGCAGTTGATTTCTTACCACTCAGGTTCTCTCTAGGACAGCAACTGCTGGGTACACCCTAGTGCTCCAGGGGGTGACCCCACTACGATTCTGTCTCTTGGTAAATAGCAAAGACATAGGGGACCTTGGACTGTCTAGCCGGCAGCGTGCTGGGCCGCCCCTCCAGACTGGGGAAGACGTAGCCCTCCAAAGGGCTGGCGCAGACCCGCGTGCCAGACAAGTTCCTGCCGCCAGACTATTCGGCAGGTGCTGCCAGGGGTGACATCATTTACTGGGTCATGCTACATGCTGTCTGTAGTGGAGGCACAGGCCTGGCACCAGTCTGGTACAGTCCAGGAGGTACTTGCCAGCATACTCCATACTGGGGAGACCTATCCCACGGGCTTGTCACTCCAAATGGGACAAGATACTCTGACAGGTGACATTGAGGACAGATTTCACTGAGCAAGGTAGCAACCCTCAGGCTGTGTGATGAGGGGGTCCCTGAGTTCTGCAGCCCTGTTAGCACAAGCCAGGGGCCATGTCCTGAGTCCTGGGCCATGTTCCAGGCACAGCCCAAGCCACAGCCCCTGCATCGGGGGAGGCCTGAGAACTCCGTGTGGCCACCGTTGCTGCAGACAACCCAGTCAGGATGAGGTCTGTGTGCAGATGGCACTGCACCCTCCGCACACATGAACCCACTGCAAGGCTGGCCCTGCCTACCTGGAGCAATGGGCCCCAGGGAGCAGGAGCAGAGGGTGCGTCTCAGCAACCCCCTACACACTGGCCTCTGGACACAGGCTGGTGCTGCTGACAGAGCATCAGGGGCTGAGGATGGAGACCGAGGTGTTCTAGCCCACAGCGTTTATTTCAGGCAGAAAACACACCGGTGCCCAAGCGCAGGCACAGTGCCCCGACATGCGGGGAGCCTGGAGAGGTGGCTGGGAGGGGGGGCCTGGGGTGCCTCTCTGGAAGACCAGCTGCACTGGCCTGCGTCCCTGGGCAGGGAGAGTGAGGGCTAGATGAGGTGGTCCAGGCACAAAGTGAGGGACTAGTCCTGGGCAGGCTGAAGGGGTGTGTGTGAGAGTTGGACCACAAAATTGGGCAAACTTGGCACCACCCAGACTTTCCAAATCCCCATTCAAACAAACCCTCAGACCCAGGCCCCTGCGGAGCTTGCTGGAGCCACTGTAAGGCCCAGCGATCAAGGGCAGTGAATGAAGCAGATTGGAAAGATTAGTGGACACCTCCCTCCCCTCTTTACTCCCCCAACTTGTCTACCTGCTCTCCTGAAAAAAGCAGAGTTGCCTGAGGCCCGGCCAGGGACAGGAACCTGAGGTTTTGTCTGTGGAGGGAGCATGCCCAGGGCCCCTACCTGCTGGGGTCTCCCGGAGGCAGCGCTTAGCGCAGGAAGCAGGGTAAGACCTGGACCCCAGCATGGGAAGGGAGCAGGAAGGAATGCACCTTGACACTGTACACAGGGGAGGATTGTCTGGATGTTAAAAACAATCCCTGCTTTTTTCTCCTGAGGACATCTTGCTGCTGAGGGTCAGTGCTCCCGTGGCCTCCCCACTGACCACATGAAGGTGGTACTGAGCCTCCTGCTCCCCTGCCTGCTGGCAGAGCTGTGGCTGGTGCTCAGCCTGGCTGCTGGCCCTCAGCGCCCGGAGGCCCAGGCAGGGCTGGAGACGCTACAAACCTACGCCACCCAGAAACAGACCGGTGAGGGCATGCGGGCTTCTTGGAACCAGACCGGTGAGGGCGTGCGGGCTTCTTGGAACCAGACCGGTGAGGGCGTGCGGGCTTCTTGGAACCAGACCGGTGAGGGAGTGCGGGCTTCCTGGAATCAGACCAGCCAAGGGGCACCAGCTTCCTGGAACCAGACCAGCCAGGCTTCCCAGGAGGAGGAGGAAGAGTCCTGGCTGGCAGCCAGCAGGACGCTCTCCGCCGGGATCACCGATTTGGGGTTCAGCCTGTTGCGCCAGATCTCCATGAAGCATGACAACAACGTGGTCTTCTCCCCTCTGGGTCTGGCCTCAGCCTTGGCGACCTTGACACTGGGGGCCGAAGGACATACCAGAACCCAGCTGGAGAGTGGACTGGGCCTGCAGGCCGCCCACCAGCACGGAAGCCTGCCTGCCCTCTTCAAGAGGCTCAAAGACAGACTCTCCCACAACCTGGAGCTGGGCCTCACCCAGGGGAGCTTTGCCTTCATCCACAAGGATTTTGATGTCAAAGAGACCTTCCTCAATCTCTCCAAGAGGTATTTCGATACACACTGTGTGCCTATGAATTTTCGCAATGCCTCCCTGGCCAAAGGGCTCATGAATCAGTACATTCACAAAGAGACGCGGGGGAAAATTCCCAAGCTCTTTGATGAGATTAACCCTGACACCAAATTAATGCTCGTGGATTACATCTTGTTCCAAGGTACTTGGACACGACGTTCCGCCCTCCCAAGGCTTGGGCCGGCCTCTCTCCCCCTGCCTGCCGTGTGGGGCAGGCACGTGACTCACGCCAAGTGGCTTCCTACCTGCTCCCAGGTTGCAGCAGGCAGTGGCCCCCACAGCTGTGGGTGGGGCGTGTCCCGGCCGCCCCACACACCTGATTCTCCAAGCTCAGGTCTCCCCTGAGGTTCTGACTCAGCAATTCTGAGATTTGAGGTTCCATCCTCGGTTCTTCACTTTCTACCATTGTGACCTGGGGCCAAATGACCCTTCTATTGACCTCAGATGCTTAATGTAGAAAATGGGGGTGGGGCGACTCCCACATCCTGCACAGCTGGGAGCTCAGAGCCAAAGGTTCCACCAAGGCCATGTGACAGACAGGGGCCCAGCTCTCACGGGAGCTCCTGAACTCACCAGGTTCTTGCCATGTGGGAAGAGGGGCTTGGTGTGGCCACCCTGTGGGCCCAAAGCCGAGGAGGAGGGGGTGCATCCTGGCAGCCCAGCACGCACGCAGCGGGCGGGCCTGCCTGGGGGCCTCCCTGAGCTGTGGGACTCTCAGCCCTCAGTGGCAGGTGGGGGGTGGTTGCTGCTGGCACCTGGGATTACACCCGGCAAAGTGGCAGGCAAAGGGCCCAGGCAGATGGCGCAGAAAGGCCTGACCACCAGGCTGGACCAACGCCAGGGCTGGCTGGAGGGCAGTGGGCGCTCAGAGTGAAGTGGGGTGTAGGGGGTGCCGCAGGCGTCTGAGCTGTGAGCAGTCAGGAGACGGTGCCAGGCTCAGGCATGCCATTCCCACAGGGCCTGCTGTAGGCTGCTGCTCTGCCAGCAGAAGGTGGATTTGGGGTGCCGGCCTGGGCAGGTTGAAATCACCAGCAAAGGGGATGCCTGTGGCCTCCAACCCCACCGCGCCTCTGAGGACGGTCTCTGCAGCGAGCTCTTCTCTTACCTCTTCAGGGAAATGGCTGACCCCGTTTGACCCCACCTCCACGGAAGAGGATACTTTCTACCTGGACAAGTATGAGGAAGTCAAGGTGCCCATGATGTACAGAGCAGGCAAGTTCGCCTCCACCTTCGATAAGAACTTCCGGTGCCATGTCCTCAAGCTGCCCTACCGAGGCCACGCCACCATGCTGGTGGTCCTCATGGAGAAGAAGGGCGACCACCTGGCCCTGGAAGACTACCTGAGCTCAGACCTGCTGGACACATGGCTCGGAGACATGGACACCAGGTAGCTTGGCCCCTGCCCTGTGCGCTCGCGGGGCCCTTCGCTGGAGAGCAGAGGCCGCTCTCCACAGGCTGGCGCCTCAGTCCTGCACTGCTGGGCACAGCAAGGCAGCCGGAGACCACAGTGGTAGGAGAAGGGGTCGGAGGAACAGGGTCCAGTCACCCAGGACTGCCGGCCCCAGGAGGGACTTGGGCGCTCCTGAGAGAAGGGTGGCCGGTGGAGGGAAGGACATAGTCTGACTCATGCTTTAAAAGGTGACAGGACCTGTGCTGAGAGGATCACTGAGGGCAGCAGGGAGGAAGCAGAAGCTGGGCAGGCGAGGCTCCAGATGGGCGGCCACGGGGCTGGGCCTGTGGGAAGCCAGAGGTGGCCAGAGGGAGGGGGGAGGGGTGGTTGCCAAGGTTTGGGCCTTGGTAGCCTGCAGGAAGCACGAGCCTTCCACAGAAATGAGAGGGGAGATCGTGGTCGGAAAAAAGTCGGGCACCTTTAGGAGGTCAGCCTGAAACAGGTGCATCCGGGGAGGCGTCCAGAAGGCAGGCCGAGCTGCTCCCGACAGTTGCTTCAGTTGTTTTTAATCGCAGGGAAATGGACGCCAAGTTTGACATTATTTGCTAAAAAGAATGTCTTCTCTGCACTGGACCATTCCAGAATGGCCTAAGCTGTGCAATCAACGAGGGAGATCCCTTGTGGGACGCAAAGAGACGAAGGAAATGAGCTTTCCAGAGTCCAGAGTCTACATTTGTCTGCATTTTACCCCATGTGCTTGCACCACAGGAGAATGGAAGTTTTCTTCCCCAAGTTCAAGTTAGATCAGAAGTTTGAGATGCACAAACTGCTTAAGCAGATGGGAATCAGGAGAATCTTCTCGCCCTGGGCTGAGCTGAGTGAGCTCTCAGCTGCTCCCGGAGATCTCAAAGTATCCACAGTAAGTGGGGCTCACGGGGGCGCGTGGCCCCACACGCCGGGCCTGCCACGTTCGTGTTGACCCAGGCTTCCATTCCCGAAGGCTTCACAGCACCCACGACGGGTGTTTGAAGGGTGTTGAGCTATTTGATTAAAACATTTGTTCAACGACTTAATTTCTCCCCCGTAGAGCCCCTTCCCTCCTCCACGGCTCAAGGAACAATTTGCCACTGAAGTGGATTTGGGTCACAGCTTCATTTAAAACTTTGACATGCCACCACTTTGCAGACGAAAGCAAGCCCCACAGGTCTTCAGGCCCACTTTCCCTACAAAGCAGCCCTCTGGATCTTTTTTTTTTTTTTTATGCTTCCACTGACGAGGAACTCACAGCTTCCTTGAAAGCAGCCCCATCCACAAATGACCGTTAGAAATACACACAGGTCTGTACCTCCTACCCAAACACTACCCTCTGGCCTCGAAGAGCCAGCTGAATTGCCTCCTAGGAGGAACCCCCAGCTGCTCTATTTTCTCAGTGGAGGTGCTTAGATCCTGGGGAGCCTTTGCCCAAAGTCACTGGCCAGCAGCAGCCCCCAGCCCCTCACACCCGTCTCCCTCAGCTGTGGCATCTAGTTAATATTGTCCTATATGGTTACATTTTTCAATTCTGAGAGACTGAAAGTGGCATCCACTGAGGCAGGGCTGAGAGGAGGGAGCGACCTGAGCCTGCTCTCAAACCCTCTCATCACAATAAGACACTTAAGCAATCTCGCAGGCCTGACCTGAGGAAAGTTCGGTTAAAAATGCATGAAAAGTTGAGGCAAAGTGCCCCCCACCCCAGCCCACCCCGGGAGGGTGCCTGTCGCTGCAACGTGAGGCCCAGGTGCTACTGCACTGCCTGTCCACGCTCCTCACAATAAACATGCCTAAGCAGCGCCTGACGAGGTTCCTAATGAAAAGAGCCTCCAGACACAGACGGGAGCCCGAGCACAGGGGTCACAGTGGACGGCCCAGGGACCCCCTTCACCCCTCAGAGCAGCGCAACCTCACCCCTGGGCGCCCCTGGCAGCAGGGCCGTCAGAGTCCTCAGGGCTCCAGGGCAGCTTGAAAAGCTTCTTTGAAGAGAACCAGCTCAGCTCGAGACCCAGGGCCCACATGCAGCTCGGAAGTATCTGCTGCTCCATCACGCGGCACCAGCAGGCCCATGTCCAGAAGGCGTCACACACCGGCCCCTGGGCGGTGCCCAGAGCTACCCCAGGCCGCTTCTCTCAGCAGAGGAGCCGGCACCACAGTAGGGCAGGAGGCCGTCACACAGAATGTCAAGGGGCTCGGCTCCCTCCTCGTCCCCTGTGCTGCCACACAAGTGGACATCCATATCTTCTTTTCTAGGTTCTACAGCGAGCTGTGATTGAGGTGGATGAAAGAGGGACTGAGGCAGCAGCGGGGACCCTGTCAGAAATGATTGCTTATTCCATGCCTCCCATCATCAAAGTGGACCGGCCATTCCATTTCATGATCTATGATGAAACTTCTAGAATGCTTCTATTTCTGGGCAGAGTGGTGAACCCTACTCTCCCGTGACTCATGGCGTGCTGAGCCGGGGTGTCAGCCTCAGGCAGAGAAGACTGCATCCCCGTGTCCCACGTTAGCCTGGGCCAGCCTCAGAAGTCCATGCATTAAATGCAAACTCATCTTAGGGAGATCTCTGCATCATCTGGTGTGTTAAGTCTGGTTCTAGGGGTCTGTTATTTGGTGGAGAACAGCTCGGCAGCGTATCTCTACATCTCTGTTACTCACATATCTGGACTTCAATAAAAAACAGATCAGAACACTATTTCAAAATAAAGCCTCTGGGAGGAAGGCCGTGCCTTCTCCATGAGCCATGTGCTTCACTCTGTCCTCCCTTCGGGTGCAAAATGAGCGCTTTACCTTCTTCTAGGGTCACCTCTTGCTGGCTTAAATTAGAATAAAACAGCCACAGTCAGCCCCGCTCGCCATCCCCACCTCGGCGCTGCCTGTCTGCTCTGCAGCGGCTAGATCATCCACTGAGCACAGGTTCAGTTCAACGCCTTCACTTACAAGCAGAGAAGCAGAAGCGGGACAGGCCTGTGTGGGCCTGAGAAGCAGAAGCGGGCCAGGCTTGACCGCATATACATTTCCAGTGGTATCTTACAAGTGCACTAGAAAGAGCACTAGGGTGTGGGTTAGTTTGTCTTTGGGCCACTGCAGTCATAGCACGCGAACTGTTTGCTGTAGGAAGACACCTACGCAGCCCTACAAGTAGTATGGACCCAGCACTGTGCAAGCCACGCTACACCTCAGAGAAAGGAAGACGCACCTGGGCCCCCACCGACTCTCCTGACTCCAGTCCCCACATCCACGTAGCTCTTCCTTCTTTCTGCCTAAAACAACTGACAACACACAGGACCACGTAAACAAGAAGCATTTACCAAGCTCTCAGCTTTCCTCTGGGGGTTACCCAAACAGAGACAGGGACTTTGTCCTAAGGTGAGAGGGAAAATAGCAGATACCCCTGAAACATCGTTGAGGCCATCCCTAGAAAACCCTCGAAGAAGAAATTCAAAGCCTCGTGAACAAAGCTAACTGGGGTTGTCGTGTCAACTGTGTTGAACAAATACTTCACTGGATTTGCATGTTTGGATACAAAGTTTAAATATATTTAACAGTAATTCACTGATCACTGATATAAACTAAAGCAATGTAAATAGGAAATAAGCAGCAGCTATCTGAAGAATAACTTTGTCACTCTACTATCTGGGTAGGAGTTTATGCCCAGATGCCTCCCAACAGCACTAATTAGTGCTGGGTCAAGAGCAAGAATTTCTAGGACCTAAAATGAAAAAAAAAAAAGAGGACTAACTCCAACTAATATTAAGTGACCCATTAGTGTTCAAGTAGGTAGATCTGTTTGTGAAAAAAATAGTACAAAGAGAAACAAGAGGGTTCAATTGCCCACGTTTACAAGATGAAACTTAGAAAGTTAAGTAAATACACCAAGCCCGGATGTAACCCCTCCTCTGCTTACATGCACCGACATAACCCTGGTATCTAACTAACACGTTACTCTTCAAGGCAGAAAGTGGCCCTATTCTCGATTTTAAATTTTTAAAAATATACCCCCCATATTCTTAAAGAAGCTTCTAAAACACCAGGTTTTGGATTTCCCAGGTATATATGCATGGTTAAAAAATGCACCCCAATGAAAAATGCAATTTATGTTGCCAAGTTTTAACGATGAGAGGGGAGAAGCTGATGTCACACCAATATTTAAGCATCAGGTTTTATCTACTGCTCCTCAGCACACACAGCCACACACTCACACACTCTCCCACGTGCTACAACAGCTGAGAGCTGAGAAAAGATTATTGAATTAATTGAATCCATTTTATCCTCCTCAGGCTTTAAAGCCTTTCCATTTCAATTCAGACACTCCATCGACACCCGCTGACTCAAGGCAAGATGGACTCCTTCCAGAATAAGGCGTCAAACTCAGGAAGAAGTTCTCCATGCTCCTCATCTCACCTCTCTTCAGTATAACACTTCTTAGCCCTATCTCCACTTCTGTCAGGAAACCTGGGCTCTACAAGGCTGGTTATTTCTGCTTATAATCCTAACTAGTAAAATTCTAGAACTAATCCTTATAAGGCAAATTCCCACCATGACAAGCAGATAAAGGAAATGCCCCCAGTTTCCCGCAAGGGCACGCGAGGGAACACTATCTTTGTCATACAGTTAACCCACAGGACCTGTTCAGTAAATTATTTGCCAAGAGTATGGGTATTTTTTTCAGTATGAATTGAGGTAGGTCTGGGCAGTCATTGCTGTCACCAATTTTTGATACTGTTTGCATGTATCTGTCCTTGAGAGTTAGTTTTAATAAATAGGACAAGTTTAGAAAATTATCAAGTGTTGTAGGGAACAAAGGCAACTCCCCCAAACCACTCTGATGGACCATCTTGGATGATCAGTTTAGTGCCAGGTGCAAGGCTGCGGATGACTTCTGACCTCCTGAGCTCAGGAGCGGTTCACTTCTCTGCCAGATTGCTTTCCTCTTCTCTACCTGCAGGATGGAAAATAAAAGCTCCTAACTCTGCTACATTTCTTATGGAACAAGGAAGGGGAAATTCTCCATTTATTTGCAGCAACAGTCAATGGGGGCTGTGATCAAAGTGCTGGGAGGAGGCGTTCGGGTCTCCTGGCCAGCACAACACAGGCCCCACAGGTGAGGCCCGGAGGACACACCATCGGAACAGGGACACGAGGTCCAGGATTGTGCACTGAATTCTCCTACCGCCTCACGTTTCAACTACCGACAAAATGAGTAATTCCATTTAATTGTCTTTAAATGAAAGATAGTTGAGAATCACTATCACTAAACAGCCAACGAGGTCTTATAAAAAAAGGCAAATAGATAGCATGAAAAAGCCTCACACGGGTGACCCAGGAGTAACACAGTGGATGTCAGGATGCTTCCCTTCCTTGTTACTTACAAATGAACTGTCATACTCTTCAATTATAGAATGAAAACTGCAGGAAAGTATTTAAAACTGTTCTCACAAACACAGGTGTCTCATTAACCTATGTTTTATTTTGAATAAATTCATTATTCATTATTTCACATTATAAAAAGTAACCACACACGCATTTGCATCCACAAATTAGATCATCTTTATCATACATCAATATACTTAAAAAAAACAAATATTCTCTAATATCAATATAGTTAATATGCTGATTGCATTTTGAAATAGAGAAGCTGACAATAGCTTCATACGGTATATCTCAAGAACTGACATTGTCAAATTAAGAGCTGTATATTTTCACAGGCAAATTTGGATGAAAATACTGCATCAGTACCAATAAATGCTGTTGACATAGCTTAAGCATGATAGCTTGAAATAACAGCTGATTCAAACTAGATTCGTCATTTCAAATCAAGTAAGGACAACTACAATCTAAAATGTAAACAAAAGTATTTATAAAATAAATTCTATGAAATAAAGGAAATCATCAATCTATTATTTTGAAGGTAGTTGTAGCTACACGTTCTCAGAAATCTTTGTAGAATTTTCATTGCCAAATTTAAACTTTGGACTGCCCAGGTACAACATCCCGTGGCCACATCCGCGGACTGACAGATTACATATAACTACTGTATCATCTTCAGTGTGACTTCTCAACTGCGCTTGGAGATGCATGAGAAAATGCAATGCCTTTCTTTCCCCCAGGCCCTTGGCCGAGGGATTAGCTAGTATTCAGTTGACTTGGACTTTCATAGAATTTTTAAAGGCTAAAACTCTAGAACAATTAAATAGATGGTTTCCTGCACAAATAAATGCAGACTTAATGGAAATTCCTGTTTTAAATAAGTGTGGACTTATGTCTTTTGCAGCAGTAGGTAAAGCACATACCTAAAGTTGTTTTTCATTATGTTTCACTATGACATTGGAATTCTGTAACCACATTATTTTTCCAGAAATATATATTATACCTCCTAGGGAATCTAATTTCAAATATGTGAAGTTTAACACCAGCTGCCATTATGACTCTTTTCCATTTGTGAAAAGAAAAACAAAGCCGCAGCCAAGCATTAGCTCGTCATCAATCGCATTATCTCCGGTGGTCTTGTTCGCCTCCTTTATCAAGCAGATGACTTAAGGATTTGCTTTTCTGGATTTTCTTTGTGAAAAAAAGAGAAAGAGAAAAAGAGGGATTGGTCAGGGTAGTGGATAGAGGGATGGTGAAAGAAAACCAAACATGAAAAATTTAATCCATATAATGCATACAAAGTAAATAAATATAAAATTAATCTACTTTGAAAACTTGATAGTTAAGCCTTCTAATTAAGTGACAGAGGATTTACACGTTAAATATTATTTGGAGCCACCTTCAATTACCAACTCTTACACGCATCTAGCATAACATTTGGTTCAATGGTATAGATTTCCTTTTTTTTTTTTTTATAACTATAGCGGAAATTAACACAGGCTTAAATACACCAATTGTCTGGCCTCAGAAGACCTAAGTGATGATGTCTGTGTTAAAGCAATGATATTTCAGGTCTTGCTGGTGGCCTAAGGGTCAAGTCTCAGCGCTACCGCCTCAAAGGTCACTGTGGTACAGCAGACCCTTCCTGTCTCACCTGCTGCCCCCCTAAGTAGGGTATTTCAGTAAATTTGCCTGTTCTCCCCACTCTGTCTCTGGTGAATCCTCTCACCCTCCCTGCACCTCTGGCTTGCACCCCAGTTCTTCTCTGCAAAAATAAAATCTTTTTTAAAAATGAAAATAAAGCCCTAGATACCAGACCTGTCATCTCCACCATGCTGACAAGCTGGAAAATGGACTGAGTAGAATTTGTTTAGAAACCAGAACTGAGACAACTAATACTTTCTGAACCCGTTTCAGGGGCTTACTTTCAGTCAAGGACATGAGCTGGATCTAGCTTGGCCCCGAGCTGTAGACAGCACTTCACAGACACAAGACAGTGCAGACATGGCTGAGTGCCTGCCCAGGAAGCCACATTAGAGTCTGGGGGCCTGGTCCTGGGGGCACAGGCGCCCCATGTTGAACAGTATCTAGTGCCAGGGTCCTCCTTCTCCTTCAGATTAGTCAGGGGTGGACACAAAGGCCACGATTTGTCAGTACATGGGCTATTTCTAGAGTCATCTTTTAAAAATGACAACTATATATAATTGATTATATACAATTGTGTGTGTGTACACCTGCACCACACACAGTTGTTGAAAGGGATGCAGTTACAGCCCGTGTCTTCTCAGTTCTCCACGCTGGAGACCCTGAATGCAAACACTGTACAGCTGAAGAAGCAGGTTTCAGATACTAATCAGCGGGGGCTGTTAAAGCTCCCTACTGACTCCCTAAGATCACAATGGCTGGGGCTATACAGACGCCCTGTATGGAGCATCTCGCAGAGACGTGGGCAACACTCCCTGATAATTCATCGCATCTCCCCATGGCACTGTTCATTCTTGGCGCGTATTTCAGTGGGAAGAAACGTGAGGCATAACACAGCCTCCACCACCGAGCACTTACAAGGAAGCCTTCCGAGGCTGTGTGTCTTTACTCCCGCTGCCCTTTGGATCCACAGAGCTCCCTGAGCCTCGAGAGGTACTTGGGAGGGAAGCGTTAGGAGAAAAGGAAGAAGGTGCACTGCTGGCATTGCGGGCCCGGAAGGAATCATCTGGAAGCAAACCACGTGTAGTCAAACATGCTGAACATACTGAGAAAGACGTTAACCTAAGAGAAGAACGGTTAATGATTGCTCGCTTTCTCCTTTTAAAATTAGTTTTGTTATTGTAACTTGCATACAACAAACTGCATAAATTTGAGATTCTGACCCCTCTCCTGTCAACATCACAGGAAGCCGTCACCACAGCGAATGGACGCCAGTAGACTGTAGTTCTGCTCTCTGCTCCCTCCCCAGTCAGACTCTGCTCTCCACCCCCCCACCCCCCCTGTAGATGAGCTGGCACCTTCTGGAATTTTATAGAAATAGAAGCACACAGTACGTCTCTTCGCTCAGCAGGGTGGTGCTGGAACTCATCTCTGCTCCCGTTACAGGCCACACTTCAGCCTCCTCCCTGCTGGCAGGCATGCCACAGGGCCATCCACCCCGCTGACAGACACCTGGGTTCTTTCCAGTTCTGACTATTCTGAAATAATCACATGCGCATCTGTGTGGACACAGTTTCAACTTGTGTCCGGTAAAAGCATGGGCGTAGACCTGCTGGACCACGTTCCACTTGGCATTTTGCATCTGAGGCAGCACACCTGCGTTTCAGGCCGCCCCGTCCTCATTGCTGTTCTGAGCTTTCTCCGGTTTAGGTGCCCAGGGAAGTTGTTGGATTGTTGTTCTCATCACTTCCCATTTGCATTTCCCTAATGATTAGTGATGCTAATCATTCCAGCCATGTACTGATTTGCATGCCTCCTGTGAAGTACATGTTCAGACATTTCTCTCACCTTTAAATGAGCTGCCTGTTAGTTTGAGAGATCTCTGTGGGTTAGGACACACGTCCTCTGTCAGGTATGTGTAATGCGAACTTTCTCACTGGGATCCTGCCTTCTCATTTTCTAATGCTCTAATTCAAAAGGAAGTTTTAAAATTTGGTATAGTTTTTTTTTTTTTTCAAAATGTTATTATCATTTATGGTTTAGAGAAAGCTTTGCCTATTCTAAAATCATAAAGACTGTCTTCTACATTTTCTTCTGAAATTTCATGCTTAAGTTTACACCATATTTTGTTAATTTTGTGTATGGTATGAGATGAGAATCAAGGTCCAGTTATTTTAATATAGATCTCCAATTGCTTCAGCATAATTTGTGAAAATACTCTCCCATCACACTGATTATCTTGGAGCTTTTGCTGGAAATCAGCTCCCTGCACAAGTCCACGTGGGCCTCACTGCAGGCAATTACAGGCTCTTTGCAGGAGCTGAAATCAGGTAGTGTGTGTGCTCTAAATCTGCCTCTCTTTTTCAGGATGATTTTGGCTATGCTCAGTTCTGCGCATTTCAACACAGATCCTAGAATCTACTTATAAATTTCTATAAAAAGACTGTTAGAACTTTGATTAGGTTTGCATTGAATCACCCAAGACATTTTAAAAGAAGCGGCATCAGCTGGCTTCTGAAAGCAACGTGAAGACGTTGAATAGCGTCATTGGTGGCTAGGCCTCACGCAGAACGAATTTTCAGTTCTGACATACATAAGTTAGATGAAAAATGCTTTTCAAAACTTCCATAACCTAGAATTGTAGAGGATGGTGAAATGAGGTGGAGACTCTTACTCAGTATGGAAAATAAAAAGGGTCTACGAGCACCTGACATGACCTCTCATGTGAGTTAACATGGAGCGAGGGAGAGATTTCATTATTTCCCTAACAGACTTAAAAAGAAAAAAGACCTGGCATCATAACAATATTGTTTCCAGTTTATAACCTGATAGATCTCTCCACTTATTTGGGTCCTCCTTAATGGCTTTCAACAATAGTTTAAAGATTTTACTAGAGTTTTAGCATATCGTATCAAGGGTACATACTATAACACAATGTATTTTGCGCATTTTACGGTTTCCTGCCAGGTCACTGAGAGTAAGATTTAAGTGAAAGAGTATTTTAACAAGCTAGGATTCTTAATGCATTTTTCTAAGTTGCTTTCCAGAATCATCCCATTGGCTTCTATGGCCACTAACAACGGGCCCATTTTGTTTCCCTGAGTCCTTACTGGCTTCCTCACACAATCACCCAGGTCTGCTGTGAGCACACAGCCTGGACTGAATGCTGTGGCTGATGGCAGGCACATGTTGGCAGATGATTTAACGACAGGTTCGCATCAAGTAGGAGGAATTCAACTTGACCTTCCTAACCATGAGTTTGACCTTCCAGTTTTACTAACACAACTCCCTTACGCCATGCCATGCTGCAGGGCCCCAGCCAAAGTGGGCTGCTGAGGCCCCCTGGCAACACCCCCTCTCAGCTTTGCGTGGGACAGGCCCCTGCACGGGGCATTAGTCCGCATGCATCCCTGGCTGTGGAAGTCCTAGCTCCCTTCAGGCTCGTGGCAAATGACAGTTATCTTGAAGCCCATCTTCTGTCCCACAAATAAGTAATCCTCTCTATGTGAACACCTAATACACTTGTTGAAAGACAATTTGCTTCCATTTCTCACAGATCAGGCTAGTACATACTAACTTTTTCCACAGGCTGTTATTATGTAAGAAATAATAATGAGCTCATTTTTCTAACCAAGAAGCTCAGAGATAATCCATTCACCCATATTCCCTCTCCCCAAAACAATACTGAACAATGAAGATGGAATAATTTTCAAGTAAAGGTAGAAGTTCTAATAGTAAACAAATTGGTCTTCTAAAGTACGCACCTTTATTTAAGATTGGATGTCCTCTGGCCAGCAGGCCATATGTGCTTTTACTTCTAAGGTCATTTAAGAACCAGCAGTCAAAGCACAGGTGTCAGTGCACATAATTAAAGCTTTTAAAAAATAGTTCTGGGCCCTCTCTGGTGGCGCAGCGGGTTAAAGCACTGCACTGAGAATCTAAAGCCGCTTCCGCATGAGTTCGATTCCCGCCTGCCCCGGAGGTGACCACATGGCGTGGCAGACCTCTCCTGACCCGCCCGCTGCTCCCCTCAGCAGTGTACTTCATCGATCTGCCTATTCTGCTCCCCACTCTGTCTCTGGTGAATCCTCTCACCCTCCGCATCTCTGGCCTGTACCCCAGTTCTGTATGAATAAATAAATAAATCTTAAAAAAAAAATAGTTCTGAATTTAGTAATATTCCAAATGATATAGGCCAAGGCATTTCTTGACAAGAATTCTTACAAGTTGATGAATAAACATATGCTTTTGTGGAAGTCATCTCCAACAGCCTCGAGAGGACTCATCCAAGTCTCAAGAAGCCCTCGCTGACATTTACAATCACTGCACGATTCATTCCAAGGCGAGCTATTCCAACTGACTTCCTATGTACACGCTACAATTCTTTAAACATTTTAAAAATGAGTCATAAATTTTCTACTTTCTTTTTTTTTTTTGGTTTCTTAGGAAACTTCCAGAAATGCCAGTCACTCTTGTCCAACATCTAACGCTAAGTGCCATCAGACCCTTCCTCAGTCGGCTGTGCACACACCACTCCCTACAGTGTGTGAGCGGCAGAGCTAAATATTTAGAAGATTTTCCGTTCTGGCAAATAAAAGCATAGAACTGTCATTGAGGGCATATATGTTCTTGATGAGGATTTTAAAAAACACAATAAGGAATAACAGGAAGACAAAATACTCAAAATTTAACCTTAAAAGGAAATGCAACTAAGTTTTTAAAAAATTTCAGACCTTCAAGTAAATTTGCAATTATTTACACTAAACAAACAAACAAACAAACACTGTAGGTTAATATTACAATGTTCAACCAGTTATTTTTCCAGGCAAAAAATTAAAAATGCACTTACAGCCACTAGCAATTTTTAGCAGTGTTTTCCTCCTTATGTTCTATTCTATAGGTCAAAAGTTAGCAAACGACAGTGTCTGGACCAAATCTTGTCTGCTACCTGTTTTTGTACCTAAGTTTTACTGGAACACAACCAAAAACTTTTACTCAATGGCAGACCTGAGTAGTTGTGACAGAAACCAATCTGGCCAATAAGATCTAAAATACAAATAAGGCCCTTGCAGAAAAAGTTTGCTGACTCTTCATATAAACTCTCACATAGCTATCAATACAGCTACAGGTACAGATATAGATGACATAGATATAGATAGTAAATGTTTGGCTGTAAATGACCTGCAGCAAGCTCTTATTGTTTTTAGCCACCTAAGCACTTTTAGAAGATGCCTTGGTCTGTCCTCAGTCAGTGGTAAAAACTATCCAAATGTGGCCCTCCCTGGTGGCGCAGCAGGTTAAAGCGCAGCACTAAGAAGCTAAAGTCACTTCAGCATGAGTTCGATCCCCACCACGAAAGTGACCCACATGGCGCGGCAGACCTCTCCTGACTGCCCGCTGCTCCCCTCAGCAGTGGACTTTATCAGTCGGCCTGTTCTGCTCCCCACTGTCTCTGGTGAAGCCTCTCACCACCCCTGCACCTCTGGCCTGTACCCCCGTTCTGTATGCATAATAAATCTTAAAAAAAAAAAAAGCTATCCAAATGTTTTATCCTTTTTCTTCTAAAATATTGAATTCTAGATCTTGACAAAGTAAAAACAAAACAGTACAGTCAACTATAATCTAAATACTAGAGAAACACTTGGACATTTGATCATGTTTTTGTTGACACATTTAGGAAAAATGCTGTATCTATTTTTATTTTTATTTTATTCATTTATTTTTTTCTTAACCCTTATTCTACCAGAGAGGCCCAGGATCTGCGTATTTTGTGATCCTGTGATATGCTCTCTCAATTCTTGGATAGTCTCATCTTCTTCCTTATTTTATAATTGAATATTCAGATTTAAATCTAAATTGCATATCTTTTAAGCATATATTAGTCAACAATGCTTTGAGGTAATTCTCACAATCATTGATATTTGCCAGTATCAAGAATGCATATTTTTCTATTATAAATTTTGGAAGTCCATTTTTACCATTTGATCACCACTGGTGACCACTCGGCAATATTACAGCATATACAAACATTGGGGCTAATTTGTTTCTCCTATTTCTTTTGTTTCTTCAAGAAACTACATTTAAGCTTAGAGCATGCAGACTACATATATGGCAAGTATGTATGTTTCAAGTCTAATAAAAATTCAGATTATTCCAACATTGTGATTCTTTTTTTTTTTAATTTTATAAGTTTATTTTTACATCATTTTGTACATTTTTTTTCCATTTCAATTGTAATCCCCGCGGGTTTCCCATCACCAAGTCACCTGTGTGCCATCACCATAGTCCTGTGCACTTCCCTCCCCACCCCCCCGTTTTTGATCCCATTCCCCACTCCACCCCCCCAAAATGTTTCTGGTATATGGTTGTTCATTATTTTTGTTATTTTCTCGACCACTGGCACAGTTTTTAACATGTAAAATGTTACTATCTTCCCTGAAGCACATTGAGTGGTCAGGTAGAGGGTGAAAACGGTCCTTCTCTGTCTCTCTGAGTCTTTGGTTTCTTGCCTTTTTCTTCACACTATCCAAGCTGTGTACTCTCCACCACTGTGATTCCG